AACAAAAATAGTTCAGTAGCACCCTAACCAAGTTTGTTCTGGGTATAACCTTTCATGTGCATGCATTTCTTAATTTATTTTGAAGATGTGGATAAATTTGCAGATAGTTTCTGAAAATGTTCTCCCCCCCCCCCGTTTTTTCCTTTTTTTTTTTTTTGGCGGGGTGGTTTTAAGCCAAACAAAAGCGTCAACAGTTCTGATGCGAGAGTGTAAACATCTCTCGATGCCATTAGTATCGGAGCATTATGCAAATTCTCCTAATTTCTGAGAAATCATTAAATGCACAGGGCAAAGGCTGTGAATCATTTCCTGTCAAACGCACCATTAGCTTTTTCTTGCTGAACGAACAGATTTCGTTTTGAAAAGGGAAAGGGAGGCAGGGTGCCGGAGTGGGGGCCTTTTACTGTGAAAGCCAGAGCATCCGGTCACATACCTCCTCCCAGGCGCCCCCTTTTAAGCGGGACGGCCACGCTTTCTCTACCTCTGTCCAGGGGCGCCCCAATTTCGTGCAGCCTGCGGACAGGGGCTGTGAAAACAGTTCCTGCAGTGGAAGGCGGCATGTGGAGTGCCGGATTTACGTATAAGCTAAACAATTAAAAAAATTAAAGGAAAAAAACCACTGGATGTACATTTCCAAAATATAAGATAAAAAAACAAATAAAATAAAACCTACATACTGCAACAGTGTCTTGTGTTGTGTAAGCAATGGGTCCCGCCTGCTATCTTGCTCCCTCAAATATCCCTGGTTTGCTCCTTTCTATATACAGTCATACCTCGGGTTACAGCCACTTCAGGTTGTGTTTTTTCGGGTTTGTTGTTGCTGATTTCCTTAAGAATGGATCGGTTGGATCTTCTTGCAGTCCATGGGACCCTCAAGAGTCTCCTCCAGCACCAGAATTCAAAAGCATCAATTCTTTGGCAATCAGCCTTCTTTATGGTCCAGCTTTCCTTTCCATACATCACTACTGGGAAGGAGGTGTGAGACCTGTGCCTTAATTTTTATCAGCAGAATGTTCGGTGTGTGTGTGTGTTATGTGGTAAACTTAAGTTTTTAATGTTTGATGCTGTGTTGTTTTTAATATCCGGTTGGAAGCCGCCCAGAGTGGCTGGGGAAACCCAGCCAGATGGGCGGGATATAAATAATAAATTATTATAATTATTATACACTGTATTTGGTATAATATTCCATTCAGCTGTCATCATGGATCATAGCTGTTGATCAGTTCCCAAACCTTTCTGGCCCACCTATCCCTTGGTGCAGTAACTTATCCACACTGCCCCTGACCCTGCCCTATAAAAACAGCTATTCACTTCCCCGAAAGGAACTCTTATTTATTTTATTTATTAGATTTATGTACTCTCCTTCATCATGAGATGTGAGGCGGTTCGCAGAGTAGAATACAGGATAAAAACATGAAAATAAGTAAAACTTAACAGCGAGACATTAACACCCCTTCCCACAAGAGAAACAAATGCACAATGGCCACAATCAATCGCATAAGTTAGGGCAACAGAAGCCCTATATAGAAAAATCATTGGATTGAAATTAAAAGGGAATTTAATTTTAAAAATCACCCAGACTTTCACCGCAGAAGGAGCTCAATGCATGTTCAGATTTCCTGGAAATGTTTGGCATGGTTTGTTGGGCTGAAGTCAAACTTTTGGAAGGTTTCAGCGCCTGATGTGGCTGTAGAGGCTGAAATGGGAGGGACATGTTTTGTTGCAGCTGGGGCAGAGTAGTGGTTAAGAGCGGTGGACTTGTAATCTGGTGAACGGGGTTCGCTTCCCTGCTCCTCCACATGCAGCTGCTGGGTGACCTTGGGCTAGTCACACTTCTCTGAAGTCTCTCAGCCTCACTCACCTCACAGAGTGTATGTTGTGGGGGAGGAAGGGAAAGGAGATTGTGAGCCGCTTTGATACTCCTGTGGGTAGTGATAAAGTGGGATATCAAATCCAAACTCTTCTAGGTGCAATTCAGAGATTTGCGAACTACCTCAGTGAATTTGTTAATCTGAATTAGTTCACTCCAGAAGAGAGACCCTGGAGAAGTGGACATTTCTTGGCCTGCTGTCTTGGTAGCTTTTGGTCACAACGGAACGGCAAGAGGGAAAATGTGTCTCTTCTTCTTGCTACTGCTTTCCTATGTGAGTCTGCTTCCTCCCTCGTGGCGTCACTTTCTGGCAACGCAGCAGTTTGCAAACAAACAAAAAAATTGCGTGGGGTTCGAAATGTGCGGGAGGATGTCTTTTCTCTCAGCCCGCTCTGCCGCCCTTTTGTTGTGGTCTCGTGCATCAAATCCTTTTGTGCTTGGCGCTCTGACGTTTCCTTTAAACCTTTACCCAGCTTGTGAAACCCGCCGTGGTAGGAGGCAGAGAGGGAAAAATGGGTGGGAGGGGGAGCTTTGGGGTTCTGGGGCAGGCGGCGATGGGGACAGTTCAGTTCTGCTCCTGGCGCCGTCAGGTGGCTTCCAGAGCAACGGTGGCACCACGAGAGCCAACTCCGCAGGGATGGCGGGCTGGAAAACGGCCCGCTGATGCTCTTGCCTCACAGCAGCTTGAATCCTGGGACCGGGGTGTGATTTCTGAGCAGCTTTTCTGAGGGGACAATGGAGAGCCTGCATCAGGTGGAGTTGGCTGGAATGGTCTTCTTGCTACTTTTCTGCCGGTCTGCTCTCCTCGCCAAGCAGTCTGGTACGTAACCGGTGTGCTCATCCGAATGCAGCTTTTGTTGCTGTAACTCCCAAGGAATGGGCAGGAGGTGAATTCTCAGGGGAGAATTCTCAGGTCTATGGACCATCTCAAGGGGCTGGGAGCTGGGGCCACTGTTATACAGTGGTACCTCGGGTTACATACGCTTCAGGTTACATACGCTTCAGGTTACAGACTCCGCTAACCCAGAAATAGTATCTCAGGTTAAGAACTTTGCTTCAGGATGAGAACAGAAATCGTGCTTTGGCAGCACGAGGCCCCATTAGCTAAAGTGGTACCTCAGGTTAAGAACAGTTTCAGGTTAAGAACGGACCTCCAGAACGAATTAAGTACTTAACCCAAGGTACCACTGTACAGTGGTTCCGCTCCTTCCTCCTGGGCCGTGTCCAGAAAGTGGTGGTGGGGGATGAGTGCTCAGACCCCTGGGCCCTCACTTGTGGGGTGCCTCAGGGTTCCGTCCTCTCCCCCATGCTTTTTAATATCTATATGAAGCCGCTGGGAGAGATCATCAGGGGGTTTGGGCTGGGTGTTCATCAGTATGCAGACAATACCCAGCTCTACCTCTCTTTCAAATCAGAACCAGTGAAGGCGGTGAAGGTCCTGTGTGAGTGTCTGGAGGCGGGTGGAGGATGGATGGCGGCTAACGGATTAAGGTTGAATCCTGACATGACACAAGTACTGTTTTTGGGGGACAGGAGGCGGGGGTGGGGGTGGAGGATTCCTTGGTCCTGAATGGGGTAACTGTGCCCCTGAAGGACCAGGTGTGCAGCCTGGGAGTCATTTTGGACTCACAGCTGTCCATGGAGGCGCAGGTCAATTCTGTATCCAGGGCAGCTGTTTACCAGATCCATCAGGCACGCAGGCTGAGACCCTCCCTGCCTGCGGACTATCTCGCCAGAGTTGTTCATGCTCTGGTTATCTTCTGCTTGGACTACTGCAATGTGCGCTACATGGGGCTACCTTTGAAGGTGACTCAGGAACTACAATTAATCCAGAATGCGGCAGCTAGACTGGTGAATGGGAGCGGCCGCCGAGACCACATAACACCGGTCTTGAAAGACCTACATTGGCTCCCAGTACATTTCTGAGCACAAGTCAAATTGTTGGTGCTGACCTTTAAAGCCCTAAACGGCCTCGGCCCAGTAGACCTGAAGGAGCGTCTTCACCCCCATCGTTCAGCCCAGACACTGAGGTCCAGCTCCGAGGGCCTTCTGGCGGTTCTCTCCCTGCGAGAAGCGAGGTTACAGGGAACCAGGCAGAGGGCCTTCTCAGTGGTGGCGCCTGTGGAACACCCTCCATCAGATATCAAAGAAATAAACAACTATTTGACTTTTAGAAGACATCTGAAGGCAGCCCTGTTTAGGGAAGCTTTTAATATTTGATTAATTATTGTATTTTAATATTTTGCTGGAAGCCGCCCAGAGTGGCTGGGGAAACCCAGCCAGATGGGTGGGGTATAATTAAATTATTATTATTATTATTCATGATGGCATCAAAGTCTATGCTCTGGATGCCGGTTGTTTGGGGAGAAACTGTAGGGGTTGACTACAAGCTCTTTTTGCAGACTTCCCAGGGGGGTCTGGTTGTGCACCAAGGTGGGCAGATGTCGGACCGCAGGGGCCTCTGATCTGAACCAGAAAGGTCGTTATTATGTGCTCAATTAACAGAGGAAAAAGAAAAGTAGAAAATTCATGAACTCAAGCTAGGGGCTGGTTTGCCACAGTGGAAAATCATCTTGTGGAACTCACTGCTCCATGATGTTGCTGCCGCCACTACTCTCAGCATAATTTAACAGCCACAAAATGCAGGTGGCCACCTCCAGATGGCCAGCCAGACCCTTTATCATCTTAGTCCCCTCCTCTACACATTTTCCAGCTTGTCAATATCTTTCTTAAAGTGTGGAGCTCAGAACTGGAGTATCCAAATTGAATCAGGGTTTCTCAGCTCCGCTTCGATAATCAATATTATTTATACCCACCCATCTGGTTGAGTTTCCCCAGCCACTCTGGGCGGCTCCTAATCGAGTGTTAAAAACAATGCAGCATTAAATATTAAAAACTTCCCTAAACAGGGCTGCCTTCAGATGTCTTTTAAAGATAAGATAGAATAATTTATAATAATTATACACTTTGCTTCAAATCCCCACGACGGGGTGAGCTCCCATTGCTTGGTCGTCTGCAACTGGACTTAATGGTCAGGGGTCCCTTTTCCTTTACCTTTACCAATTAAAGCGAGCCAAGCTTGCTGTGCTGATTATACACTTTGATTTTGGTCTCTTTTCGCCAGCAACCTTTCGTCCGTCGCAGTTAGATAAACCGATGGGAGCGACGGCCAGGTTCACCTGTCGCTTGTCGGAGACCGTTCAACATCATTCCCTTAACTGGTACAAATTGGGTGACGACAAGCAGCCGAAATTACTGGACCTTGGAAAAAGGAAGTATAGCCGCGCCATGCTGAACGCGACGACCTTTGAAATTAAAATCTCGGACTTAGAGATGAACGATAGCGGGACCTACTTCTGTGGCCTCATCTGCCCCTCGTTGAAGCTGACAGAAAGCAACAGGGCAAACCTCACAGTAACAGGTTTGATGCAAGTCCTTCTGGCGCTTTATGGGTGCAAATGGGTGAGAGAGTGGCAAATGCGATTCATTGTCAGCAGGAGCAGAACTGATGTATGTTGGGGAATGCACAACATTTATTTATTTTTCAAACAAAACTCGTGCACCGCTTCATTGTAAGAAGCGAAAACCTCAAAGCGGTTTACGGAAAAAGCGATGAAACAATAAAATCACCGGTAAGAAAAATTACCAACAATAATCTGAGAGTTGAAAGAACTACAGATTAAATCTCAAAGCAACTTTTTAAACTGCTTGGTTGTTGTTGTTTAGTCGTTTAGTCGTGTCCGAGTGGCTTACCTAAACAAAAATGTTTTTACCGAAAATTGTACAATGGAAATCAATAATCAGGGATTTCCAAAAGGGTAGGTAATGCCACACTAAAAGATTGAGTCATCCTATTTTCCCATGGGGGTCTGAACTGACAGCGTCTGACCAGGAATGAGACCTTGGAGTCATCATGGATAGCTCAGTGGAGATGTACCTGCAGATTCTTGCTAGTTTCCAAGTAGATTGATTAACTGGCTCAGTTTATGGGCTTATCCTAGATACCATATTTTTCGCTCTATAGGACGCACTGGACCATAGGAGGGGGAGAACAGGAAAAAAATTTCTCCCCCTCTCTGCTCAGCGCCCCTTCAGCGAAGCGGCAGGAGAAACGGAGCCCCTTCCATTTCTCCTCCCGCTTTGCTGAAGGGGCGCTGTGCAGAGAGGGAAAACTGTGCTGTGCCTCTCCAGTGAAGCGAATCCTGGAGAGCAAGAGGGATCGGTGTGCACCGACCCCTCTCGCTCTCCAGGCTTCAGGCGGCTATCCGCAAGCCTTCAGTGCACAGCAGGAACTCCTGCTGTGCTCGGAAGGCTTGCGGATAGCTCCCTGAAGCCCGCAGAGAGCAGCAGGAGTTCGCGCTGCGCTCCGGGGGCTTCAGGCGGCTTCAGCGAAAGCAACGCGAAGCCTCCGGAGCGCGGGGGGAGCTCTCCCTCTGCGCTTCGGAGGCTTCGCGTTGCTATCACTGAAGCCAAGGAGCCTGTTTTCGCTCCATAGGACGCACACACATTTCCCCTTCATTTTTGGAGGGGGAAAAGTGTGTCTTATAGAGCGAAAAATACAAATATAGGACATGAAAAGATGGATCATCAACGTGTCAACCTTGGTCATTTTAAAGCACAGACAGGTTGATGGCAAACGGGAGCAATTATTTTAGTGGCCTTGACTTCATGCCTGATCGCAGTCACGTAGACTCAGAAGTAAATCGTATTAACATTATTGGAACCAAGGCTGCTCCCAGACTGTCCCTGTTATTGGGTGAGAGTCAGCCCCACACTCTCTGCAATGACTCTTGGAAAAGTGCTAAGCATCATCCTCTTATGCTGGATTAGCCTTGGGATGGACCCAAAATTTTGGACCCAGTCAGTGACTTTGCTTTTCTGCTTCAAAACCTCAGAGAAAGAGAAAGAACTTGAGCCTGGACTACCGTCGGAGGAGACGAAGCCTGGACTGCCGTCAGAGGAGAGGGAGGATCACGGAGAGATCCTCCTTGCTGTCGTCGGAGTTGGGCTGTTTCTGGTGCTCCCAGTTTTGTGTTACTACCTCTTTAACCTCATCCGGAGAAAGCAAGGTGGGCATCTCAGCTGCTTGTCCCAATTTCCTCTCTCCCGGGCATCTTATATAGCAGGGTGGCCAACTCCCAAGAGACTGCGATCTACTCGCAGAATTAAAAGCTGGCAGTGATCCCTTTTGGGGGGTTCAGGTCAAAGTTGTTGAACGTTTTTTTAGGTAGGAAAGCCCCGGTTTTGGCGGGGCGCAAAACAAAAATGTTGAGCTTTTTTTAGGGGAGCCAAATCTGTTGAGCTTCTTTGGGGGAGCCAGTAATCTCTACCACAGACGTCCAGCGATCTGCCGTTGGATTGTTGGACGTGCCTTTTATATAATAATAAATAATAATAATAATAATAATAATAATAATAATAATTAATTTTAATTATACCCTGCCAATCTGGCTGGGTTTCCCTAGCCACTCTGGGCAGCTCCCAACAGAATACAGCGGTACCTAGAGTTACAAATGCCACAGGTTACAAACGCTTCAGGTTACAAACTCTGCTAACCTAGAAGAGTTACCTCGAGTTGAGAACTTTGCCCCCGGATGAGAACGGAAATCGTGTGCCGGCAGCGCAGAGGCAGCAAGAGGCCTCATTAGCAAAAGCACACCTCTAGTTAAGAACAGTTTCAGGTTAAGAACGGAACTCCGGAACGAATTAAGTCCGTAACTAGCGCTACCACTGTATTAAAAACACGATAAAACATCAAACATTAAAAACTTCCCTAAACAGGGCTGCCTTCAGATATCTTCTAAAAGTTTGGTAGTTATTTTTCTCTTTGGCATCTGATGGGAGGGCATCCACAGGGTGGGCGCCACCACCAAGAAGGCCCTCTGCCTGGTTCCCTGTAACTTGGCTTCTCGCAGTGAGGGAACTTCCAGAAGGCCCTTGGAGCTGGATCTCAGTGTCCGGGCAGAACGATGGGGGTGGAGACACTCCTTCAGATATACTGGACCGAGGCCGTTTTGGGCTTTAAAGGTCAGCACCAACACTTGGAATTGTGCTCGGAAACGTACTGGGAGCCAATGTAGGTCTTTCAAGATGGTGTTATATGGTCTCGGCGGCCGCCCCCAGTCACCAGTCTAGCTGCCGCATTCTGGATTAGTTGTAGTTTCTGAGTCACCTTCAAAGGTAGCCCCATGCTCAACGCATGAATTCTAACCACTTGTATCCTTTTGCAGAGGAAGAAAAACTGCAGGATGAAAATGCTCCCTTGGTAAGTTCCCTTTTGCTCAGAGAGCTTCTCTCGCTGTCGGCCCCTTCTGACTCTGGCACTTGGCTGATTCAATTCACACCACATCCTGTTTGGCCCCCAATGCTCTTTCGTACAGATATGGGCCCAACCAGGCAGCTGTTCTGTTGCACGGGTATTCTGCAACATGTTTTATTATGACACAGACATTTAAAGCACTATGATACCACTTTACATAGTCCTGACTGCGTACCAAAAGGATTCTGGGAAATGCACTTTGCTAAGGGTGCTGAGAGCTGCATGTTGTTGTTTAGTCATTTAGTCGTTTAGTCGTGTCCGCCTCTTCGTGACCCCCTTGACCAGAGCACGCCAGGCACTCCTGTCTTCCACTGCCTCCCGCAGTTTGGTTAAACTCATGTTGGTAGCTTCAAGAACACTGTTCCACCATCTTGTCCTCTGTCGTTCCCTTCTCCTTGTGCCCTCCATCTTTCCCAACATCAGGGTCTTTTCCATGGAGTCTTCTCTTCTCACGAGGTGGCCATAGTATTGGAGCCTCAGTTGCAGGATCTGTCCTTCCAGTGAGCACTCAGGGCTGATTTCCTTCAGAATGGAGAGGTTTGATCTTCTTGCAGTCCATGGGACTCTCAAGAGTCTCCTCCAGCACCATAATTCAAAAGCATCAATTCTTTGGCAATCAGCCTTCTTTATGGTCCAGCTCTCACTTCCATACATCACCACTGGGAAAACCATAGCTTTAACTATACGGACCTTTGTTGGCAAGGTGATGTCTCTGCTTTTTAAGATGCTGTCTAGGTTTGTCATTGCTTTTCTCCCAAGAAGCAGGCGTCTTTTAATTTTGTGGCTGCTGTTACCATCTGCAGTGATCATGGAGTCCATTAAATTAAAATCTCTCACCTCCTCCATTTCTTCCCCTTCTATTTGCCAGGAGGTGATGGGCCCAGTGGCCATGATCTTCGTTTTTTTGATGTTGAGCTTCAGACCATATTTTGCGCTCTCCTCTTTCACCCTCATTAAAAGGTTCTTTAATTCCTCCTCACTTTCTATCATCAAGGTTGTGTCATCTGCATATCTGTGGTTGTTGATATTTCTTCTGGCAATCTTAATTCTGGTTTGGGATTCATCCAGCTGAGCCTTTCGCATGATGAATTCTGCATATAAGTTAAATAAGAAGGGAGACAATATATAGCCTTGTTGTATTCCTTTCCCAATTTTGAACCAATGAGTTGTTCCATAGGAGCTTCTAGGAGATCCTTATTCCCCTCTGGGCACGACGATTCCCAGAGCTCCCTGGAATGTGGGATTAATTGTTAAACCGCTCTGGGAGTTGTAGCTCCATCAGAGGCGAATTTGGGGGAGCGATGCACTGGGCGCACTGGCGGAGGAAGAGGGGGCAGGGGAGCATACCACCCCCGGCACCATCGGGGAGGGGAGTACCATTGTGGCCGCCCCCCAACATGCACCTCGCACCCCCCCACTGTGCCGGGCTGCATTCACAAAGCGGGTTTTTTGGGGGGGGATCAAAGTTTTTTGGGGGGGATCAAAGTTGAACATCTCTCCCCCCATTTTGGGGGGGAGGCTTTTCAAAGTTTTTTTGTTTTTGTTTTAATCACCCTACTTGCCATACGTCCAGGTTTTCCTGGACATTTTGCCAATTCAGTGTAAATCTGCCTTGGCACCATTTTCAAGTCCAATTCCCCCCGGACGTATGGCAGCCCTAAGTTTATTCTATTTTCCTGATGCTTCCCTAACTGGTAATTTCCACATCATTATTATTATTATTTTTTTGAGCTTTCACACGACACAGAAGCCAGTTATGGAAACAGCAGAATAGAGCGCAATTTCCCCTGTTATCTGCTTCCAGAAATAAATCTGTTTGCAAACAACACAGGAATGAGTCCAAAAATTATAGAAGTGGATTTTAAATTGTGCTACATCTCAAAAATATGGACCTGTTGTTGCTTTGCAGAGGGGCAAAAGAGGAGCAAGAAATAAACCAAAACATTTATTGTTTAAAAAGCAGGAAGTTTCAGGATATGCACGGATTGGAAATGAAACCCTGAAATGTTTGCTGGTGGAAACAAGTATTGAAAGTGGTATTGTGTGTGGCCCCCGATAGCCTCCTGATCACAAATCATCATGACTGTGCAATAAAAAGGATGTCTAGAGGGACCTTACATTTACCTACACATAGAAAACAAGCTTGTCTGGAAAAATAGCCCTTTACAGTCGTACCTTGGTTTTCGAACAGCTTAGTTCTCAAACGTTTTGGCTCCCGGAAGTGACTGTTCCGGTTTATGAATGATTTTTGGAAGCCAAACGTCCGACAAGGCTTCCGCGGCTTCCGATTGGCTGCAGGAGCTTCAGCCTGCAGCCAATCGGAAGCCGCGCTTTGGTTTCCAAACGTTTTGGAAGTCGAACGGACTTCCAGAACAGATTCTGTTAAACTTCCAAGGTATGACTGTATCTTCCTGAGATGCTCGTTTTTCTGTGCTTTTAGCCACACAACTTTCCACCGGCAGCTTGAAAAATAAATCGCAGCCAAAACTGGCAAACGGACCCAAATAGAATTATCATCGTTGAAACACAGATAAAACAAAACAAAAAAGCTTTTCAAACTAATATAAGCAATTAAATTGTGTGTCTGGGTTGGCCTTCCAAAATAAAAATGTTTTCAGCAGACATTTGAAGCAGTATAGGAAGGGCGGCTGCCTAAGGGGACCCCTAGATGCCATCCAGACTAACCCTCGAATCCTATAACAATATTTTGGGGGAACTAGTGCAGAGGGTGAGTTGGAATTTCAACCAAGCATTTCATCAGGCTCCCTCCGTCCCTGATCACCCAAGTTCAACTCATTTCTAATACTGAGGTCTGCCTAGGGGGATAGAACACCCCAGAACCAGCTGCAGGTGAGAGTGTATGACCCTCCTTATTATACCAACGTCTCTGTACTGTTCCACTTCAGAGTCTGCACAGGAGAGGGTTTATCTCTCTGCATGCTTCCGCACATAAAAAGCTCCTTGCAGGCGTAGTAAACTTTCACGTCTGGGAGAGCGATAATTTTTCCTCCCTGATATGCTAATTTTCTGCCTGCGGGGTTTTTCCTGTTTATAAGGGGAAGTACCTGCAGACACAGGGACACGGGTGGCGCTGTGGGTTACACCACAGAGCCTAGGACTTGCCGATCAGAAGGTCGGCGGTTCAAATCCCCGCGACAGGGTGAGCTCCCGTTGCTTGGTCCCAGCTCCTGCCAACCTAGCAGTTCGAAAGCACGTCAAAGTGCAAGTAGATAAATAGGTACCGCTCCGGCGGGAAGGCAAACGGCGTTTCTGTGCGCTGCTCTGGTTCGCCAGAAGCGGTTTAGTCATGCTGGCCACATGACCCGGAAGCTGTATGCCGGCTCCCTCGGCCAATAAAGCGAGATGAGCGCCGCAACCCCAGAGTCGGTCATGACTGGACTTAATGGTCAGGGGTTCCTTTATCCTTTACTTTACCTGCAGACACAGCTGGGGCAATTTGTGAACTCTGCCTATCACTCTCTTCCACATAGAATCATAGAATCAAAAATCATAGAGTTGGAAGAGACCACAAGGGCCATCGAGTCCAACCCCCTGCCAAGCAGGAAACACCATCAGAGCACTCCTGACATATGGTTGTCAAGCCTCTGCTTAAAGACCTCCAAAGAAGGAGACTCCACCACACTCCTTGGCAGCAAATCCCACTGTCGAACAGCTCTTACTGTCAGGAAGTTCTTCCTAATGTTTAGGTGGAATCTTCTTTCTTGTAGTTTGGATCCATTGCTCCGTGTCCGCTTCTCTGGAGCAACCTTTCTCCCTCCTCTATACGACATCCTTTTATATATTTGAACATGGCTATCATATCACCCCTTAACCTCCTCTTCTCCAGGCTAAACATGCCCAGCTCCCTTAGCCGTTCCTCATAAGGCATCGTTTCCAGGCCTTTGACCATTTTGGTTGCCCTCCTCTGGACACGTTCCAGTTTGTCAGTGTCCTTCTTGAACTGTGGTGCCCAGAACTGGACACAGTACTCCAGGTGAGGTCTGACCAGAGCAGAATACAGTGGCACTATTACTTCCCTTGATCTAGATGCTATACTCTTATTGATGCAGCCCAGAACCATGCTGCAGAACCAGGTGGCAAGAGTCCTGAGGTGGCCTAATGGGCAGCCCCACTTCAAACCGTAGGAGGGGAATGTGCTCTTTTGTCTACTCACCAGCCAGCCAACTCCACACAAGTAGACAACTAGCGCATCAGGGAGAAACATTCCAGCATGCTTCTTGCGGTACTGGTTTTCTACATGCGGGGAGCTTTTTAAATGCAAGTTGCCCATCTGCCTAGCACCCTCTTTCTGGCAGCACACGGCCAGAGGCCCCCGAGAGCCGACAAGCAGTGCATGGAAGGACTGTCATTCAGGATTATACATTGCCTTTGAACATGGAGACTCCATTTAATGATCCATGCATTTATCATATTAAGATCACAGGAAGAGGCTGCTGGATCAGGCCGTCTTAAAGCTAGGGGTCAAAGTAAGAAAGACAAATTCTCTTTAGTTTGGTGTGACTTCATTGGTTTTGAAAAAGACATGAACAGGCCTCCTTAAAGGTAAAGGGACCCCTGACCATTAGATCCAGTCGCGGACGACTCTGGGGTTGCGGCGCTCATCTCGCTTTATTGGCCGAGGGAGCCGGTGTACAGCTTCCGGGTCATGTGGCCAGCATGACTAAGCTGCTTCTGGCGAACCAGAGCAGCACACGGAAACGCCGTTTACCTTCCTGCCGGAGCGGTACCTATTTATCTACTTGCACTTCGTGCTTTTGAACTGCTAGGTTGGCAGGAGCTGGGACCGAGCAACGGGAGCTCACCCCGTTGCAGGGATTCAAACCACCGACCTTCTGATCGGCAAGCCCTAGGCTCTGTGGTTTAGACCACAGCGCCACCCGCGTCCCTCAGGCCTCCTTAGGTGTATATAAATGGACATGGCTAGTCCTTTGAGGCCACCCAAGTTGGTGGCTGTCACTGCAGAAGTGAGTTCCATAGTTTCACTATGTTCCTAGTACTGAGTAGTTTCTTAAAACAACAACAAAAAAAACCTGGCATTTTTGGGGGTAAAATCTTTTTTTTATTAAGTTTTACTTTACAAATTTAAATCCCAACATTAAGCCTCATCATCTAGGATTCCCTGAATGCTTTGACTCCTCTCTGCCTTTCCATGGTTACCATTTTCCATCTTTTGTCAACTGCTTCACTTATTTTCTCTATTTTTCTCACATAGTCTATTTTTACCCTAATTTCTAGTACAGTCATACCTCGGGTTACAGCTGCTTCTGGTTGTGTTTTTTCGGGTTACTCACCTGCCGAAACCCTGAAGTACCGGAACGGATTACTTCCGGGTTTCGGCAGTCGCGCATGCGCAGAAGCATTAAATCACGCTTTGCACATGCGCAGAAGCGCCAAATCGCAACCCACGTGTGCACAGACGCGCTGCTGTGGGTTGCGAACGTGCATACCGCATGGATCATGTTCACAACCCAAGCATCCACTGTACACTACAAGCGTTATTCAAACCCTGCCAACGTTTTTAGTTGTTTACAGTGTTCTCTAAGATACGTTGTGAAATTTCCCCCATTCCTTCTTCAAGTTCTTCTCTTCCTGGTTTCTGATTTTCACGGTCCATTTCGCCATTCTGGTCCATCATCTTCATCAGCCATTCGCCTCTGGTTGGGACTTTAATCTTCTTTCCATCTCAAAACTGGCCTGTTTTTTAACCCTCCCTCTCTTGCTGTACCTGAAGGAAGAAGGCCCTCCCGCCGTGAGCGTTTTCACCGTGGATTATGGGGTGCTGGAGTTCCGGGCAGCGGACAACGCTCAGAGAGCCCCCCATGAGCGCTTCGCTTCCGACCAGACCGAATATGCCACCATCATCTTCCCCCCGGAAAAGCCGCTCGCTGCCAAAGGAGGCAAAAAGACTAAGAAACCGAAGAGCTGCCCCAGCAGAGCGGAGCCGCACTGAAGGGGCGGAAGCGAAACCTCCCCCTTTTGAACTTTGCATTCTCCCCGATTCCTCAACGGTCCCGGGACCACACTGCAAGCACTGGGGATTCATTTGCAAAGTCAGAACATGCTGGGGCTCAAAGCTGCCTGGAAGCCACATCTTCTGCACGACAACCCTTGCCACTGCATTGCAGAAGCACGCAGGCCGCACTGCACATGCTCAGAGGCACTGTTGTCATAGGACCTGTTAACGGAGAAATCTGAGGGCTCCCTTGGACAAAAAACAAGGACAGCAGCCAGTAGGCATGGTCTTTCTTGAAGACTGTCGCGACAGGACTCCCACCTGCCACCAGGTGGAACAAGATGGAAGCCCTGAACAAAAGAGAACCCAAACTTTTAGTAGCTGCTAACCCCCATGTTACACCCCCCCCCCAAACTACATCACTAATACATCATGGTTACATTATGAAAGGGGAGGACTGGTGGCAGTAATCTGAGCATCCTGGACCCTGCCCCATGGTTCCCCTTGCCCTCCACCAAACACCCATCAAGTGTAACAAAAGAGATATTTACATTTCCCTGTTTCCCAGCCAAGTTAATGACACCCTTTTGTCTTCATCTGTGTTTGTTATTTCTGGAATGGCTACCTGTCTGGCCCTCAGGTATCAGGATGCCAGGGGTTATCACTCAGGCAGAGGGGCTGCTGAGCTCACAGGTCTATATGAATTTCTGAAGTTTTCCCAGTGAGCCAGTACAGAGATCCATTGATCAGTGAATTCTTACATTTGGTATTGTGCAGCAGAGGCCCTTTGAACAGATAGGAAGAAACTGTGATGAAGTGTTTTGTGGGAACAAATCACAAAAGACACAAAAGTGATAGTGCTGATTTTGGTAGTGGGCTGCATGTGTATGATATCTGCTGGAGGGGCAACCCCCCCAACCTATACATAAATTCCTGCAACAGACCGAACCCAGGCTCCTGGGGGAAGCTGGCCTATATCCTCAGGTGCCAGTCTTGACTCGTAGTGACTCGCCAGAGCCTCACGCTGAGAAGTGGGTGCTCTGCTGACTCGATATTACTAAGTCATCCACTTCCTGGGGAAATGTGCATCTCTTTTGATGACACGGAGATTTCCGAAGACTGCAGCAAACCCATTTCTGGTCTGTCGCTGATTCGTTTCGGAAGTCTGCCCTCGGTCTGCCCAGGTGGAAAAAGCGACTGGCATCTTTCCGACAGAGCTGGGACTCGTGTGCATAGAATCCGATAAGTGCAGAACTGGAAGGGACCCTTGGGTCATCTAGTCCAACCCCCTGCAATGCAGGAATTGTCATTAAATCTGGTGCTAAGCATGGCCTTTGGGCGCACAATTCCTGGTGCTTTCATTTACCTGGGGGTCCTGGGAAGACCCCCGTCCCTCTGCCCAGCGCAGGGTGGGGAGGAGGTTAAATGAAAGAGGTAAGGGGATGGAGGGAGAGGCTGGAGCATAGAGAGAGGGAGCCACTAGACTAGGACCTGGGACAGACCAGGGTTCAAATCCTCCACTTGGCCATGATGCTCACTGGGTGACCTTGGGACAGTCACTGCCTCTTGGCCTTAACCTTCCTCACAGGGTTGTTGTGGCGATTAAATTCGGAGCGGGGGAACCATGTATGCCACTTTGAGCTCCTTGGAGGGAAAAAAAAAAGGTTATAAATGCAGTCAATCAATCATTCTCTGGCTGTGACACTTGGTTTGATACTGGGAACCTCTCTCACTCCTGAAAGAGCCTGACCATTATTTCTAAAAGTGTAGAAAACCATTTTGTCAATACAAGGGTTGGGTTTTTTGTGTGTGGTGGTGGGGTATTCTGATTGCTGCTGAATACTGCATCATGGGATGTTTTCATGGTCTTAGGTGTTCATTTTGTACTGTTTTCAAACCTCCTCCTCCTCCTGTTTTAATGCTATTTTTAGCTATTTTTAACTCTATGCTTAATAAAAAAATTCCTTCCATTAGCACCTTAGAGACCAACTAAGTTTGTTCTTGGTATGAGCTTTTGTGTGCACGCACACTTCTTCAGATACTTAAATCATCATCATCTATACGCCTTTTAAATGGAATTGTTATAGGACTCTATCTGCACATATATAAAATACATGTATATATTGTATCAGCTGCTTTGGAGGCAGGATGTAAATTTCTGTCAATAAATCAGTGAGATCCCTATAGCCGTTTCAGGGCCTGATAACTTGCCAAAGTTCTTCCCACCTTGCATTTCCCGTCCTTTAGAAGTGTTCCATGTTTTGCATGTGGGAAATTTATATTTATTTTGGGTAATTTCTCACTGGGTTCGTTGAGCGGGAGGTGTCTGTGAGATTGCTCTTGCAACAGCTCAGGGCGAGGTTGTATCACACTCTGCCCGGCAGGCTGTTGTGATGCTATTCACACTTAGGCAGAAACTGTGACTTGTGTTGTTCGGATTTCCCACTCTGCTGCCTTTGCAAGCTCTGAGAACCAAAGAGCTGCTGCTCGTGCGGTCTGCGGTCCACGCTGCGCCACCAAGCGCAAGGCGAACTCTGCACGTGGCAATGCCGACCTGTTACATCATGCGCATACAAATGTCAGGCCAGCAGCAGCAAGTGGGGAAGAGCATGAAAAGTTTCTGGGCTAGGAAACTATGCAGTGGGATGGCTGTTGTCATAAATGTATTAAGAGCAGGAAGGTGGTAGAATCACTGGGGTTTTTAAAGTAGAGATTGGATGGCCATCTGTTATGGATGCTTTAGCTGAGATTCCTAATGCATTGCAGGGGGCTGGACTAGATCAGGGGGTAGGCAACCTAAGGCCCGTGGGCCGGATCCAGCCCGATCGCCTTCTAAATCCGACCCACGGACGGTCTGGGAATCAGCGTGTTTTTGCATGAGTAGAATGTGTCCTTTTTATTTAAAATGCATCTCGGGGCTATTTGTGGGGCATAGGAATGTGTTCATTTCCCCCCTTGAAAATATAGTCCGGCCCCCCACAAGGTCTGAGGGACAGTGGACCGGACCCCTGCTGAAAAAGTTTGTTGACTCCTGGACTAGATGATTATCATGGTCCCTTCCATCTCTACAATTCTATGATCCTGTGAAATATATTGGAATAATAATAATAATAATAATAATAATAATAATAATAATAATGGCCGAGACCATATAACACCAGTCCTGAAAGACCTACACAGGCTCCCAGTACGTTTCCGAGCACAATTCAAAGGGTTGGTGCTGACCTTTAGAGCCCTAAATGGCCTTGGCCCTGTATACCTGAAGGAGCGTCTCCACCCCCAGCATTCTGCCCGGACACTGAGGTCCAGCTCCGAGGGCCTTCTGGCGGTTACAGGGAACCAGGCAGAGGGCCTTCTTGGTGGTGGCACCCACCCTGTGGAATGCTCTGCCATCAGATGTCAAGGAAATAAACTGACTTTTAGAAGACTTTTAGAACTTTGACTTTTAGAAGACATCTGAAGGCAGCCCTGTTTAGGGTAGTTTTTAATGTTTGATGTTTTATCGTGTTCTTAATATTCTGTTGGGAGCTGCCCAGAGTGGCTGGGGAAACCCAGCCAGATGGGCAGGGTATAAGTAATATATTATTATTTATTATTACTCTGCCCTTCTGGCTGGGTTTCCAGATGGAACAAACTTGTTTTCCGATGCTCCAGAGCGCAGACCCCAATCCGGTGGATTTAAATGACAAGAAAGGAGAATTTGACTAGCATCAAGAAGAACTTTATGAGGTTAAGAGCTGTACCTTCCAGCTCTACAATTCTATGTGTGACAGCTGCTTCCCAACAACCTCTCTCTGGAAGGGGCTCCATTTCTCCTGCCGCTTCGCTGAAGGGGCGCTGCGCAGAGAGGGAGAGAATATTTTTTCTTGTTCTCCTCCTCTAAACTAGGCGTGTCTTATGGTCGGGTGCGTTGTATAGAGCGAAAAATACGGTACCCCCCATAGTCTATCACTGGCTAGAATCTCCAGCCCATATCTCAGAACCCGTTGAAATAATACAAAGGAGAAAGATAGATAGGTAGATAAAAGCAAATGCTTAAACTTCCTTCATTGTGAACATGAGCATGCATCTACTGGTTTGCTGCCAGGACACGTTCAAGGCACTTGTGGTGATTCACAAAGTCCTAAACAACTTGGGAACACAGTAGTTTAAGGACCTGACTCCTTATGCTCTACCTCGATCTCCAAGAACTTCTGCACCCATGAGGTTCAGCTGAACTTCACTGGGGCTAAGGCCCTGCCCTGTAGGATTTGCTACCAGCAGAATCATAGAACTATCGAATTGCAGAGTTGGTCCAACACCTACAATGCAGGAATCTTTTTGACCAGCATGGGGCTCGAACCCAGTACCCTGAGATTGATAGTCTGAGCTAATGATCCTTCAGCAGTAACCACCCAGGCCTGCTTTCAGCTAACTTCTGAAAACTGTACTATTGTTTGGACAGGGCGCTGCAATATGAATTACCCCTTTTACCCAATCAGTACTAATGTAAAAAAAGAGAAAGAAGCATAAAGCCCCTGTGAAATATACTGGGAGTCGAGAGGGGATCTCATGCTCTTTATTCAGCTCATAGTGGTGAGGAGGAATTGAAGTTCCCCCAAAGTATCTGCTTTATATACATTATTGACACAATGGGCCCCACGTGATTGGCTAATTCCGGGATTCTCCTGTAGGCCAATCAGTTTTGTGGATTTACTTCCACCTGGAGCTGGATTGGGTGGCTCCTGTAGACCAATCATACTGCTGCATTCTGGTTCCTATTGTTCTAGGACCAATCAGACTGCTGCATTTTGGATCCTATTCAACTCAGTACCCAACACCCTGCCTTTACATGTCACCAGATTCAGGTCCTATACTTGCTTACTTACCTGCCCACCTGCCCTGCAGCCTTTCACTCTTTCCCACCCCCCTGAAAGGTGTCCTTTCACAGCCTCCTGAGTTTGTGCAGCCAAACGATTCTGGAGGCAGGCGCAGCTGTGGCAGCAGAAAATGCTGACTTGAAAAAAGGCCTCTGTCTGCTTCTCAGAACTGTGAACCTCAATCGCCGAGAGCTACGAGAGCAGACAAACCACCTGCCTCTCTTGGCATGGGCATGACTAGGTGTTGCTGTGACGCCCAATCAGCATCCGAGGTATTGGTGGTCGGAAGTGGGGTTGTTCTGTTACACCACAGGAAATTGCGTGCATTTCCTGCAAAGGGGTGAAGTGTGGCTGCTGGCGTGTCGTTGAGCAAGGAGAGTCTGACCATGCAAATGTGGCCTTGTGTGGGTTTTGAGTGGGTGTGGAAATGAGACTCCCTGTCATAGCTGTCAACTTACAGATTTGAAAATAAGGGACCAGCAGCCTCGAAAATAAGGGATCAGCAGCCAAAATAAGGGATTTTCCAAGGGGCACAGGTATGTTCAGCTTCTGAGCCCCTCCGAGCCAAAGGCAGAAAGCCCAGCCAGCAGCCAAACGAAGCCTCAAGTGGTGGTTCCCACAGCGCAGCAACTCGGCAAAGGGGATGCAGCAAGGAAAACCACCGTCACCTCTCCGCTGGGAAGCGCTGAGCAAAGGCGAGTCCCCAGGCAACGCGGCCAATTTGATCGGCACAAGGCATGCAAGCTCCACCCCCCCAGTCGTTCTTAGACTCCTTATTGGGTGAGCAACGCATCCAAGCAACACAGTTGGAGCCTCCCTCCTCCCTGGGAGGGAGGGAGAGGAGCTGCTTCCTTTGAAACCTGGGAAATTTAAGGGACATCATCAATAAGGGACAACAGCGGGACACGGCGCTGGGATAAGGGAATGTTCCGCCAAATAAGGGATGCTTGACAGCTATGAATGAGACTCCTTGTGGGTCAGACAACGTGTTTTGCTTTTAGAAAGCAAGAAGGCATGGGAAGGTGAATCGTACTTCATTTCTGGCTCCAATTCAAGGGAAATCATAGAATTGTAGACTTGGAAGGGGCCACGAGAGTCATCTAGTCCAGCCCGCTGCAATGCAGGAATCTCAATTAAAGCAACCAGGACAGGAGGCCATCTAACCTCTGCTTAAAAAGCTCCGAGGAAGGAGAGTCCACTCCCGGAATATAATTCTCTGGACACATTCTCCAGACTTGTAAGGGTTTGGGGAGCAGGGAATCAAGCACATAACCAGGACATTTGGGTTTGCACAATTAAAGTGGAGTAAAGTTCTCTATCTCCCTAGAGCAACAAAAGCACTTTTTAAAAGAAAGGAATATAAAAACATAAAAAGAGCCTGCTGAATCGGGAAAATGGGTGACCGTCTAGTCCAGGATCCTGTTCTCACAGTTGTCAACCAGGTGTCCCAGTGAGAAACCAGGGGACTCTCCTCTCTTGCAGTTTCCATTAGAATAAGAATAATTTATAATTTATACCCCGCCCATCTGGCTGGGTTTCCCCAGCCACTCTCGGTGGCTTCCAACAGAACACTAAAATACAATAACCTATTAAACATTAAAAGCTTCCCTAAACAGGGCTCCCTTCAGATGTCATCTAAAAGTCTGGTAGTTGTTTTTCTCTTTGACATCTGGTGGGAGGGCGTTCCACGGGGCGGGTGCCACTACCAAGAAGGCCCTCTGCCTGGTTCCCTGTAACTTCGCTTCTCGCAGTGAGGGAACCGCCAGAAGGCCCTTGGAGCTGGACCTCAGTGTCTGGGCAGAACGATGGAGGTGGAGACGCTCCTTCAGATATACTGGACTGAGGCCGTTTAGGGCTTTATAGGTCAGCACCAACACTTTGAATTGTGCTTGGAAATGTACTGGGAGCCAATGTAGGTCTTTCAAGACCAGTGTTATGTGGTTTCGGCAGTGGCTCCCAGTCACCAGTCTAGCTGCTGCATTCTGGATTAGTTGTAGTTTCTGGGTCACCTTCAAAGGTAGCCCCACATAGAGCGCATTGCAGTAGTCCAAGCAGGAGATAACCAGAGCATGCCAGAGTGGCGAGACAGTCTGTGGGTAGAATGGGTCTCATCCTGCGTAGCAAATGGAGCTGATAAACAGCTGCCCTGGACACAGAATTGACCTGCGCCTCCATGGACAGCTGTGAGTCCAAAATGACTCCCAGGCTGCACACCTAGTCCTTTAGGGGCACAGTTGCCCCATTCAGGACCAGGGAGTCCTCCACACCCGCCCGCCCCCTGTCCCCCAAAAACAGTACTTCTGTCTTGTCAGGATTCAACCTCAATACAGATACTGGTATCCCAAAGCATTACTTTCTTCAGCCGTCACAGCTTTTAAAACACAATAACAAGGAAGAATTGAAACCACCAGTGACAAACTGCTTGATAATTTTGGGGGGAAAGATCAAGGCAGTTAACAAACAGTAAGTGTAATGTCCATTGGAGTTATTAGCAAAAACACAAAATAGTATACAAAGAACTTAGAAATGTTATCTTGGCCACTACAGAAGTACCCTATGTACCATTGTATTGCAAGTAAACTAAACAGGGAATAAAAGCTATTGTTGGCTGTCCATGCCACCTGGAAACTACAGAAGGAGTTGCGTGCCAAGGCACCTGAGCCACAGAGTTCCTAGGAGAACAATAAAACACACTGACACAAAGTATTTTGGTTTATGGGTTGAAATAGGACACAATTTAATTGATTGCAGATGTGAGTGGTTTGTCTTAGGCTATATCTTGACTCCTGCCCATCTGCAGGGAGTCCACAGAAGGGCAAACCACCAATAGGGGGTGCCCTGTGACTTGCATGAGATAGTGGCACCACCCTGAGGGGTCCCAGGTGGGGCTATGACATGGCCCTAGCCCACGCCCAGGCTTCGGACAATATTCACACCCCAGATCCCTTTAACAGGACACCCTTACTGAGGAGGGGCAGGAGAAGGCAATAACCTCCCCTCCAGCCAACCAAAGGCTTACCCAATGCAATGCCGCCCACCGATAAAGAGGTGAGTGGACTTGTCCCAAATTCCTCGCAGTTGACTTTGAACCTCTGGTGTTGTTAACTCTTGGCTGAGTTTCGTTTCACAAACGGTCAGCTTGTGAGAGTGAGGAAAGCAAAGCAGGGAATCACAAACAGCACCCACCTTCTCACTGCATCCCATTCTGGCCTCTGCAAAAAAGACCACAATCACCTTTGTCATTAAGCAACACCGATCGGAAAAGAAGCATGAAAAGGCTCACGATGGATTTTTGGAGACGGGTTTTTAAGAAGCAGATGCATGAGGCGAAGCCAAATGATCTCTGGAGGCTGACAATGGATCTGAGGCTTGACTTCCACAGCGTGGAACCCGGATGGACAGAAACATTTCAGGAGCATGCTCATGGAAGGTAAAAAACAAACAAACAAAGCTTCTACCAGATAGCTAATATTTTTGTAATGTGCAGGAACATAGAGAGCTGCCTTTTCCTGATTCAGAGCATTGGCTCATCTAGCACTCTGCTCTCTCCCCTGGCCAGCTGTGGTTCTCCAGGGTTCCATGTATGGTTCTCTCTTGGCCCTAAATGGAATCATGGAATACTAGAGTTGGGAGGGACCCCAAGTCATCTAGTCCTACCCCCTGCAATGCCATTGGGGATAGAAAGTGGGACATTCTGTGTGCGGACTCTCTACTCCTGATCTACGTCACATCCCATATTGTGCTCCAGCACACCTGCAGAGTGAGCCCAGCTGGGAGTTTATTGTGGGATTGATAGTGCTTATACACACAGGGTTTTTGCAGCATCTGTACCATGTCAACGTCCTCAAAATGCCAAGATCTCTCTCTCTCTCTCTGAATTTTCTCTTCCTATGAAAAACCTATTACCGTATTTTTCGCTCTATAGGGTGCACCGGACCATAGGGCGCTCCTAGATTTTAGGGGGGGGGAATAAAGATTTTTTTAATTTTATTTTCCCCCAGCCCCAAAGAGCAAAGAAGCCAAGACAGTGAGCGGGATCCATCCCGCTCGCTGTCTTGGCTTCCTCTTTAGCCGTGTGCAACCTCTCCAGCCGGGAGAGGCTGTGCGCGGCTAAAGAGGAAGCCAAGAGCTTGCTGCTATCCGCAAGCCTTCTGAGCCCAGCGGGAACTCCTGCCGGGCTCCGAAGGCTTGCGGGTAGCTGCCTGAAGCCCAGGGTGCGCAGCGGGAGTTGGTGCTGCACTCCCCAGGCTTCAGGCTGCAGGCTGCTGTCCGCAAGCCTTCGGAGCCCGGCGGATAGCTGCCTGAAGCCCGGGGTGCGCAGCCTGCATTCACTCCATAGGACAGTGTTTCCCAACCGGTGTTCCGCGGCACACTACTGTGCCGTGAGACATTGGCTGGTGTGCCGTGGGAAGGAGGCGGGCGAGTCGGGCGGTGAGAGGCGGCGGCGGCGAGGATCCGCGTCGAGCCGGGGGCGGCTCCGCGGTGGTGGTGCCGAGCGGTGGGGCAGCGCGTGCAAAAGGGAGGAGCGCGAGACAGCGGAGGAGGAGGAGGCCGGCATGTCCGGGCAGCAGCAGCAACAACAGCAGCAGCAACTCCCGGCGACGGCTCCTCAAGCCCCGCCGCCGCCCCCTCCTCCGCCCGCTATCGCCGCCACCACCACCACAGCCGCCGCCGCCTCAGTTGCCGCCGTCCCTCAGTCCCTCGCTCTGCTGCCTCCTCCCACCCCCAAAGCTTGGAGGTTCCCGGGCAAGGGGGAGGGAAAAAACTTTCACTTTCGTGCGTCCCTCCCGGCGTGACGCTGCGCGCTGACGTCACGGGGCGGGGCTTTAATGGTGGTGTGCCGCGAGATTTTTTTTCAGTAAACAGGTGTGCCGTTGCCCAAAAAAGTTTGGGAAACACTGCCATAGGACTCACACACATTTCCCCTTCATTTTTGGAGGGGAAAAAGTGCGTCCTATAGAGCGAACAATACGGTAAGTAGAAATAACCTGTTATAATCTGCTGTGGAAGCTCATTAGCTCATGGGGGGCAGTTTTTCTCATTTGATATGATGTTTTGGTGGATGTTCTCTCTACCACAACACCTTTGCTCTCCTTTCCTTCTGACCTGATATCAGGTGCCCCACTTGTGGGGCAAGTGGGTATGGCTGGGGAAGAACCACTGGGAGGGGGAGTCACTGAGTACTTTAAAACCATTGTTCTCTAAGGGCAATTAGCTGCAGGTTACAATGTACCAAAAGCAAGGTCCACGCTTCAGGAGAGCATCAACAGAAGTACCAAATTCTGCTTGCTCCCCTCCCCCCCATCTCTCTCCCTGATAGATTTACCTGTTCCGGATGCCTCCACAGCTGGTCCTCGCACCAAGTTCTTATCCTGTTCCATATACAGTGGGACAGTTCTGAGAGGCAAGGACACGTCAGGATGAAGCCCTTGGGTCAGCGGTGCCACGAATGCTCTCTGGACACGTACGAAGAGCCACAGTTCTCCGAGGACGACGTTGCCAACATCTTGAAGGAGTTGATCCTCGATATCAGGGAGAATTGCTATGGGGAGCAGGTTGACCGCAGTCAGCTCTCTAGGGTGGTCTGTCACGAGGGTGGTCCGCATAAGCGCGAGTTTTGTGAAGGGTGCCAGCTGGGAATCCACAAAGGGCAACAAGGGCGGTCGAAGCAAGCAGAGCACCGCGGGAAACCCCAAAGCACAGGCTATCCGGCGACCATTATACAGATAGAAACACCAAGTCCATCATTCCTGGGGTCCTCAGCCCCATCATTCACAGGTTCCTCAGCCCCATCATTCGCAAGGTCCTCAGCCCCATCATTCACAGGGTTTTCAGCCCCATCATTCACAGGGTCCTCAGCCCCATCATTCACAGGGTCCTCAGTCCCTATACAGAGTTGCAATTGCTGCCTATGTTTTATAATTATAATTATAATTTTCATTGTCTGGTACTGGGGATAGCAGAGCAGGCAGTATATTTAAACTGCAATGGAAATTCAGGCACCCACCCCTTGCTGGCTTGGCCTGCCGTGACTCTATAAGCCCTGCCGCCTCCTGTACAAAAGCTGCCGAATGTCTGCAAAGGCTTTTCTGTATTCTGAAACTATTACGCCAGTGGCAAATTGGGACGGATCAGAACATCTCTGGTGGAAGATTTGCCTTTTCTTCCCTTTTATTTCTTTGCTACTCAAATAGAATGTAGTTCAATCAATCAATCAATCAATCAATCAATCAATCGACCGTTGTGTGATCAGCTGCTCGTTAGAGGCAAATCAGAACACAGCTTTTATAGTAGTTAAAACACAGGAAACCAAGAGTCATAAAACATCTGAACATTCTCAAAACATAGACACCTTTCTACAAACATAAGGAAAGGTTACAGGCCATGAGAAGCAGCTGAGCAGCTGGATGGCAAAACCATTGCAATAGTTTTAATAAATGCTGGGTCCCACCAGGATACAGGCCTTGAATTAGTTTCCATGGTTTATTATGAAGTGGTCCCTCACCTGGGGAAACAACAAAGGTGATATAGAAGTGAATTCTTTTGCAGGTGGAGTGGATGGCCACCCCCCATTTTTTTTAATGGCCACCCATGTAATACAGTAGTGTCTGACAGACAGAATGTGAACAGGTGAACTTTCCCCATAATTGCATTTCCATACTACAAAAGGCTTAACCTTTGAATTTCAGCAGATTCAAGGGTTTTCCTTCATGTGTTGACCAGTGACCATCAACATCTTTGTACGTCTTAACAGCTCTCTCTCCCCTCCCCCTGTCCCGACGATTCCCTGGTCTGGCAGACAAGCTTAAACTGCATTTTTTAAAACACTGCAACACTGTCTCTCCCTAGGTGAAGACTTCGAGCATTTAGTAATTCCTATCATATACTAGCTCTAACTATGGGCGTCCCAAAACTGTACAGCATTGTACAGATTGGACAATGGACAGATGGCCACCCAACCTCTGCTTAAAAACCTCCAAGGAAGGAGAGTCCACCCCCTGAATATAATTTTCTGGACACATTCTGTTAGTTTCTGTTTCCCTGTTGTGTGGAGTCACAGGACTCTGTTTACATTCCAGGGATTCCATACTATTGGAAGTCTCACAGGAAAGGAGACAGGATGTGACATTAGTGGGTTCCCTGTTTCCTTTGTTCCTTTGTTCAGTGGCTCTCTGCTCTCACAGAGAGAGGATGTATTTTTCTTTGCTCTCTGCGTAGCTTAGAAATAAAGCATAGCATGTTGCCAAACCTCTCGTCTCTTCCCTGTGCTGGGAACTCTGCTGGATAGAATGTGCCTGAGGCCTTTAGGTCATTAAACACGTCGGGAGGCAATTCTGAAGGCTCGGCTTGGAGGAAGATGAGGCTTTATCAGCTTGGCCGAGTGGAGATTCCAACACATTCTCCAGACTGAAAGCGTTTGGAGAGACAGGGATTCAAGCACATACCCAGGACGTTTAGTTTTGTGCAATTAAAATGGAGCAAGGTTCTCTGTCTCCCAAGGGCAACAAAAGCATGTTTTAAAAGAAAGGAGTATAAAAACATAAAAAAAGAGCGTGCTGGATTGGGAAAATGGGTGACCGTCTAGTCCAGGATCCTGTTCTCACAGTGGTCAACCAGGTGCCCCAATGGGAAACTAGGAAGCAGGACTTGAGCTTCCCAGGGAACTCTCCTCTCCTCCTGCAGTTTCCAGGTATACAGTGGTACCTTGGGTTAAGAACTTAATTCATTCCGGAGGTCCGTTCTTAACCTGAAACCGTTCTTAAATTGAGATACCACTTTAGCTAATGGGGCCTCCTGCTTCCGCCGTGCTGCCGGAGCACGATTTCTGTTCTTATCCTGAAGCAAAGTTCTTAACCCGAGGTACTATTTCTGGGTTAGCGGAGTCTGTAACCTGAAGCGTATGTAACCTGAAGCCTCTGTAACCCCAGGTACCACTGTACTGGTATCCAAAAGCATTACTTTCCTCAACCACCACAGCTTTTAAAACATAATAACAAGAAAGAATTGAAACCACCAGGGACATACTGCTTGATAATTTTTGGAGGAAGGATCAATACAGTTAACAACAGTAAGTGTAATGTTCATTGGAGCTATTAGCTAAAACACAAAATAGTATACAAAGAAGCTTAGAAAAGTTACCTTGGCCACTACGGAAGTACGCTGTATACTATTGTATTGCAAGTAAACTAAATAGGTAATAAAAGCTATTGTTGGCTATCCATGCCACCTGGGAACTACAGAAAGAGTTGTCCCAAAGTCCTCACAGTTGACTTTGAACCTCTGGTGTTGTTAACTCTTGGCTGAGTTTCGTTTTGCAAACGTACGGACCGGTCAGCTTGTGAGAGTGAGGAAAGCAAAGCAGGGAATCACAAACGGCACCCACCTTCTCACTGCATCCCATTCTGGCATCTGCAAAAAAGACCACAATCACCTTTGTCATTAAGCAACACCGATCGGAAAAGAAACATGAATAGGCTCACGATGGATTTTTGGAGACGGGTTTTTAAGAAGCAGATGAATGAGGTGAAGCCAAATGATCTCTGGAGGCTGACAATGGATCGCAGGATTGAATTCAACAGGGTGGAACCTGGGTGGATGGAAACATTTCAGGAGCATGCTCATGGAAGGTAAAACAAAACAAAAAAGCTTCTTTGTTGTTGTTGTTTAATCGTTTAGTCATGTCCGACTCTTCGTGACCCCCTGGACCAGAGCACGCCAGGCACTCCTGTCTTCCTCTGCCTCCCGCAGTTTGGTCAAACTCATGCTGGTAGCTTCGAGAACACCGTCCAACCATCTCGTCCTTTGTCGTCCCCTTCTCCTTGTGCCCTCCATCTTTCCCAACATCAGGGTCTTTTCCAGGGAGTCTTCTTTTCTCATGAGGTGGCCAAAGTCTTGGAGCCTCAGCTTCAGGATCTGTCCTTCCAGTGAGCACTCAGGGCTGATTTCCTTAAGAATGGAGAGGTTTGATCTTTTTGCAGTCCATGGGACTCTCAAGAGTCTCCTCCAACACCATAATTCAAAAGCATCAATTCTTTTGATCAGTCTTCTTTATGGTCCAGCTCTCTCTTCCATACATCACTACTGGGAAAACCATAGCTTTTACTATACGGACCTTTGTTGGCAAGGTGATGTCTCTACTTTTTTTTTGCTGTCTAAAAAAAAAAAAAAAAAGACAACAGGCACACACAAAAAAGCTTCTACCAGATAGCTAATATTTTTGTAATGAGCAGGAACATAGAGAGCTGCCTTTTCCTGAATCAGAGCATTGCTCCATCTAGCACTCTGCTGTCTCCCCTGGCTGGCTGTGGTTCTCCAGGGTTCCGTGTAGGGTTCTCCTGAGGTCCACTCTTCAGGAGAGCCTCAATAAAAGTACCAAATTCTGCTTGCTCCCCCTCCCATCATCTCCCCCTCTCTCCCTGCTAGATTTACCTGTTCCGGATGCTGGCACAGCTGGTCCTCATACCAAGTTCTTATCCTGTTCCACATGCTATGGGAGAGTTCTGAGAGGCGAGGACACGTCAAGATGAAGCCCTTGGGTCAGCGGTGCCACGAATGCTCTCTGGACACGTACGAAGAGCCACGGTTCTCTGAGGACGACGTTGCCGACATCTTGAAGGAGTTGATCCTCGACATCAGGGAGAGTTGCTATGGGGAGCAGGTTGACCGCAGTCAGCTCTCTAAGGTGGTCTGTCATGAGGGTGGTCCGCATAAGCGCGAGTTTTGTGAAGGGTGCCAGCTGGGAATCCACAAAGGACAACAAGGGCGGTCGAAGCAAGCAGAGCACCGCGGGAAACCCCAAAGCACAGGCTATCCGGCGACCATTATACAGATAGAAACACCAAGTCCATATTTTACAGGATCCTCAACCCCATCATTCACAGGGTCCTCAGCCCCATCATTCCCAAGGCCCTCAGCACCATCATTCACAGGGTCTTCAGCCCCATCATTCCCCTGGTCCTCAGCCCCATCATTCCCACGGCCCTCAGCCCCATCATTCACAGGGTCTTCAGCCCCATCATCCACAGGGTCTTTAGCCCCATCATCCACAGGGTCCTCAGCCCCAACACAGAGTTGCAATTACTGTCTTTGGTCTGTAATTCTAATTATAGCAGTATTTATAATTTCAATTATAATTTTGATTGCCTATATGCTTTCTTTCATTACCTAACTGGTTCCGTTGATAGCAGAGCAGGCAGGGAATTTAAACTGCAATGCAAATTCAGGCACCCACCCCTGCTGGCTTGGCCTGCCGTGACTTTAGAAGCCCTGCCGCCTCCTGTACAAAAGCTGCCAAATGTCTGAATATGCCTTTCTGTATTCTGAAACGATTACACCAGTGGCAAATTGTGACGGTGTAAGATTCGCCTTTTCTTCCCTTTTATTTCTTTGCTACTTGAATAGAATGTCGTTCAATCAATCAATCAATCAATCAATCAATCAAGTATACCGTTGTGTGATCAGCTGCTAGTTGTGTGATCAGCAAATCTGAACACAGCTTGTATAGTAGTTCAAACAAAGAGTCATAAAACATCTGAACATTCTTGAAACATAAAACCCTTCTACATACATCAGGAAAGGTTACAGGTCATGAGAAATAACCGAGCAGCTGGTTGGCAAGGCTGTGCTATTGCAATGATTTTAATAAATGCTTTGTCCCTCCTGGATACAGACTTGAATTCGCAGATGGTTTATTTAGCAGGTGGTCCCTCACCTGGGGAATGAACAAGTTGATATAGAAGTGAATTCTTTTGCAGGTGGAGTGGATGGCCACCGCCCAATTTTTTTTAAATGGCCACCCATGTAATACAGTGTCCGACAGATAGAATGTGAACAGGTGAACTTTCCCCATAATTCCATTTCCATACTAGAAAAGCTTAACCTTTGAATTTCAGCAAATTCAAAGGTCTTCCTTCATGTGTTGACCATCAACATCTTTGTACGTCTTAACAGCTCTCTACCCCTCCCACCCTCCCGTCCGACGATGCCCTGGTCTGGCAGACAAGCTTAAACTGCATATTTTTATTTTACACTGCGACACTGTCTCCCCCCCAGTGAAGACTTCAAGCATTTAGTAATTCCTAACATTTACTAACTCTAACTATGGGTGCCCCAAAACTGTATACCATTGTACTGCAAGTTAACTATCCAGTGAATTATTAAGGAGTTCCTGATTTCTACCTTCTAAGCCTCTTTGCAAAGTTTTCCCATGTTGCATTTGCCATTGGGTTGGGGGGCAGCAATGGCAAACTTGTTTTTGTTTTAAAGATTTTGAAATAAGAACATATTTTGTTTTAATGGGGCTGCATATCTCTGCTACCATCTGATTTTATTATTCATTACCTGTTCTGTTTGATCTTAAAAAGAGAGGTCTGTTGTTATTTCTTTCTGAGGTATTACTTGTTCCTGGAAATTTTAAGACATTGAAGGATTGGGTAGGAGAAAACTGTTTCAAATGAATAAAATAAATTGCAAATGAAAAAAACCCTCTCGGATCCTGTGTATTTGTTATGGATACTTCCAAAATACCTAATGATAATGATAGTAGTGTTAGCAACGGAAGTCAAATAGGTCAGTGTTTCCCAACCTTTTTTGGGCAAAGGCATACTTGTTTCATGAAAAAAATCTCGAGGCACACCACCATTACAGCCCCGTGACGTCAGCGTGCAGCGTCACGCCGGGAGGGACATGAATTGCTAGCAAATTACATAATCACCTCCTTGAGGGCTGGCTCATCTTCTCCGAAGGCAGAACCCCATTAATTAACAGCACAGACTCACACCATAGCCAAGACGAGGGGGGGAAACCTCAGTCATGCACAGTCATGCACATGTGGGGGCTAAATGAGGACGAAGACCGGGCAGAGAGCAGGGTTCAAATCACCCCACCTGGCCAGGACAATCCCTGGGTGCTCCCTTGGGCCACTCGCCTGACCCACCTCGCAGGGCTGTTGTTGCGAGGATAACACGGGGAGAACCACGCGCGCCCCCGGGAGCTCCTTGGAGGAGAAAGCAGGCGATGAATGCAATGCACGAAATATATGAGAGGCGACCAGGTTTTGCAGGTGAGGGGCCCCCGCCAGCCTCCGCTTCCAACACCCGGTGCAACGACGCCGAAGTTTCCCCCCGGGCTCGGCTCGGGGAGCAGCGCTGCTCCCCCCCGGCTCCCCTTCGCCCTCCCGGCTCTCTCTGCCGCCCACTGGGGACCCTCCTCACCTGCCAAGTCCGGAGCGCCGGTGGAAGTTGCATGCATGCATGCAGGGCACCGCGTTGCCATTGCATTGCACTGCACTCCATGCAACGCCTGCACGCATGCATTGCCTTGCACGTCCGCCAAGGGGTCTCCCCGCGGTCCGATGCGTCCCCTCCGGCGTGGATGCAGCATTGCAAAAATAAAAAACCCCCGACGCAGCCCTACCTGGGGGGCAGCCTCCGCCGCTCCGCCTCCGCGGGGATCCCCGGGCTCCATCCTGCCGCCCGATCTCCGCGGGGGCGCAGGCAGGCTGCGCGGGGTCTGCGCGGAAGAGCCCCTGCCCGCCCGGCCACCGCCGCTGCGCTCATTCCATGGCCGGGAGAAGAGCGCTTCAAACAAAACGCCCGGCCCGCCAGGCCACGCTGGGAAACGTAGTTCGCGCACCCTGCGCGGGCGCGGAGCCCAAGGGCGAGGGGACTACAGATCCCGGCAGCCCCCGCGCTGGGGACGGAGGGGGAGAGGCCGGGTGCAGGGATGGAGGGACGGGTGGGCGAGCGAGTGAGTGAGTGGCAGCCGCCAAGCCTTGGCCGAGAGCCAGGAAGGGCCTCCCCGGAGGAGGAGGGAGGCGCAGAGTGGGAGGGAGGGAGGGAACCCCAGGGGTCATCTAGTTATGGCGCCCCAATCGAAAATTTGACTTTAAAAAAAAAATATTTCAATTTTTTAATTTTTCCCGCGGCACACCAGGCAACATCTCGCGGCACACTAGTGTGCCGCGGAACAGTGGTTGGGAAACACTGAAATAGGTAACTCCCCTCTCCCCAGCAAAAAGGGTTTGTGCAACAGGATTTATTTATTTCATAAAATTTATAATCTGCTTGATTGAAAAAAAAAGCTTCATAGGGGTTTACAAAAAGAATAAAGCAATGAAATTATCAATAAGAGAAATTAACAACAATAATTTAAGACTTTTGAAAAATTAAAATAGCAATAGACTAAAAACAGATTAAAACTTGCATAAACGTTCTAAACATCTGGGTAGGCTTATCTAAACAAAATTGCTTTTTATATGCAGATTTGGAACACAGGACATTTAACTACTTATGGAAATAGTCAATATATATATAGAAATTCTTAGCTGGTCAGAAATAGAGTTGACCCGAGGTATAATAATAATAATAATAGCATAATGAGATTGCGATTGAATTAAATTGGTTGTTGGGGTCCCTCGAGCCCCATAACTGTGACTGGGAAGAAAAGAGAGGAAAAAACAAAGGAAGGCATGTTAGCACGTAATAAAAATTCCAAAGTCCATATTAGGGCAATACCTTTATCAGGCTAATGCCCCACCCCAAAGTTGTTGGTTTTTTTTTTAAAAAAGTGCAAGCTTTAGAGTTCTTCAGAATTCTCCATCTAGCCTGATGAAGAGTTCTGAAGAACTCAAAAGCTTCCATACTATTTTCTAGCCCAGGCATGCCCTGTGTTAGCCGATGGTCATGAACTCAACTGCCACCTTTGTGAATGGGAAGAAAGCATCAGGGGGCAGAGAGAACAGCACATTTTGGTTGCCCTTCCTAAGTTTCCGCATGCTATACAGAGGGAGGATTAGTAAGAGCGTGGAAACTGGTTTAGTAAGATCTTGCCCAAGCATGTTTTGTGTAAGCCGATGGTTTTGAACTCAGCTGCTGCCTTTGTGAACAGGCAACCCGGAGCCATCGTTGGCATTCGCAAACACACAGGCCTGACTTGCTCTCTCTGGCATTTCAAAGCTTCAACATTAGGTCTTGAGGGGAATATCAAAGGAAGAGCAAGAGACTCTGGAGGCTTAATGATATTGTGAGATATAAACGCTGGTGCCCAGGACTTGGGTCCTGGACCCCTTTGAAATAATAAAGTCTGGGCAAAGTTGATGAAGCAGCAATATTATATCGATTTTCAGGTGTCCTGAAAAGGCAGACACACCATTCCTTATCAAAAACATGAATATATAAACTCCTTTCCTGAATGCAAGTCCCTCTTTCGTTGCCCACAAGGAAGGGGCGTTCAAAGTTCACACCTATCGCGTCCGTCTCTTGCAATGTAAAACCCAACCCTCTACTCCCTCTTTCATCCCCAAAGCCCCTTATTTGGTTAGTTTTTCCTCTACCCCAAAGCCCCTTATTTGGCCAAGCCTTTGCCCCCTTACATACAGTTTTTAGCAATAAAGCTATATTCCTTTATTTCACCAAAGTGTGTAACACCGGTTTCAACTACAGTGGTACCTCGGGTTACAGACGCTTCAGGTTCATAGCTGTCAACCTTCCCTTTTTTTGCGGGAAATTCCCTTATTCCAGCACCATTTCCCGCTGCCTCCCGCTGCTATCCCGGATTGTTAGATATCCCAAAGACTGTCCCCGGGATAGGTGAGGCTGCTGATCCCTTATTTTCAAATCTGAAAGTTGTCAGTTATGTTCAGGTTACAGACTCTGCTAACCCAGAAATAGTACCTCGGGTTAAGAACTTTGCTACAGGATGAGAACAGAAATCGTACGGCGGCGGCGGGAGGCCCCATTAGCTAAAGTGGTACCTCAGGTTAAGAACGGTTTCAGGTTAAGAATGGACTTCCAGAATGAATTAAGTTCTTAACCAGAGCTACCACTGTACCTGTTTTGCTCTGGAGGCTTTGCGTTGCTTTCGCTGAAGCCTGGAGAGCGAGAAGGGTTGGTGTGCACCGACCCCTCTCGCTCTCCAGGCTTCAGGGATAGCCGCCTGAAGACTTTGGAGCGCAGCGGGAACTCACGCTGCACTCCGAAGGCTTCGGGTTCCTTTTGCTGAAGCCGGGAGAGCAAGACTCTCCTGGCTTCAGCAGAGAAGAAGAGCTGCGCAGCATCCCTTCAGCGAAGCGGGAGGAGAAATGGAAGGGGCTCCGTTTCTCCTGCCGCTTCGCTGAAGGGGCGCTGAGCAGAGAGGGGGAGATTTTTTTTTCTTGTTCTCCCCCTCTAAAACAAGGTGCGTCCTATGGTCGGGTGCATCCTATAGAGCGAAAAATACGGTAGTTATTTGATTATTTCATTAAAACAAATGAAAAGGGTACAGCGAGGTCATTGTGTGCTAGGAGCCAAATCCTGAAAGTACTTATAACTCAGGAGCCAAAGGGGTAGGAAATCTGTAGAAACAACGTGTTCAGCACTACCCTAGCAGGGAAGCCTAAGGGGCCGCAGTGAAGTACAGTGGTGCCCCGCAAGACGAATGCCTCGCAAGACGAAAAACTCGCTAGACGAAAGGGTTTTCCGTTTTTTGAGTCGTTCCACAAGAGGAATTTCCCTATGGGCTTCCTTCGCAAGACGAAACGTCTTGCGAGTTCTTGCGAGTTTGTTTCCTTTTTCTTAAAGCCGCTAAGCCGTTAATAGCCGCTAAGCCGTTAATAGCCGTTAATAGCTGCTAAGCCGCTAATAGCCGTGCTTTGCAAGACGAAAAAACCGCAAGACAAAGAGACTCGCGGAACGGATTAATTTCGTCTTGCGAGGCACCACTGTATTGCTACAAAAGGTATTGTCCCACAGCCATCAGAGTAGGCTTTCAACTTCTGATGTTGTTTGTTAAGGAACTCTTCCTGGTAAGTCTCCCTTCAGTTTCGTTTCTCAAAGGTTTGGGCTGGGCAGCTTGTGTGAGAGAGGAAATAGAAAGCTGGCAAGAAGGTGAACCACCCACTGTTTCACTGGACTCCGATACGGGCCTCTGAAAAAACAAAACAGGCTTTATATTAAGCAGGAACGATCCCAAAATATACACGGAGAAGATGAACATGGACTTTTGGAGAGCGGTTTTCAAGGAGCAAATTGAAGCAGTGAAACCGAGAGATGTCTGGAGACTAACAATGGATCAGAGCCTTGACTTCCATAATGTGGCATCTCCATGGAGAAAATCGCTGCAGGAACATGCTCATGGAAGGTAAAACATCAGCTGCTACTGCATGCGCAATAATTTTGCAATGCACAGAGCCATAGAAAGCTGACTTTTGCTGTGTCAGATGCTCAGTACTGCCTACCCTGACTGACAGCGATTCTCCAGCAGGCACGGCCAAACGTGGCCCTTCAGCTGTTTTGGGACTACAGTTCCCATCATCCCTGACCACTGGTTAGTTAGGGATGATAGGAGTTGTAGTCCCAAAACAGCTGGACGGCCAAGTTTGGCCATGCCTGCATCCAGGGTTTCATTCAGGGCCCTCTCCTAGCCCTACCCAGAGTTGTCATTGGGGACTGATCCTGATCTCTTCTCCCGAGCTACAGCTCTTCCCATAATGTGCTCCGGCACACCAGTGGCTTCAAAGATCTGTCGAGGTCCCCTCAGAAAGGGGGTTATCGTGAGATAGACAGCAGCTGTGCACACAAAACTATTTGTCACCACACCTTTACTGCACCAGAGCCAAACCTTGCCAGCTTGTTTTCAGTATAATAATAATAATAATAATAATAATAATAATAATAATAATAATAATATATTATTTATACCCCGCCCATCTGGCTGAGTTTCCCCAGCCACTCTGAGCGCCTCCCAATCAAGTGTTAAAAACAGTACAGCGTTAAATATTAAAAACTTCCCTGAACAGGGCTGCCGTCAGATGTCTTTTAAAGATAGGATAGCTGCTTATTTCCTTCACATCTGAAGGGAGGGTGTTCCACAGGGTGGGCGCCACTACCGAGAAGGCCCTCTGCCTGGTTCTCTGTAACTTGGCTTCTCGCAATGAGGGAACTGCCAGAAGGCCTTCAGAGCTGGACCTCAGTGTCCGGGCTGAACGATGGGAGTGGAGACGCTCCTTCAGGTATACTGGACCGAGGCCGTTTAGGGCTTTAAAGGTCAGCACCAACACTTTGAATTGTGCTTGGAAACGTACTGGGAGCCAATGCAGATCTCTCAGAACCGGTGTTATGTGGTCTCGGCGGCCACTCCCGGTCACCAGTCTAGCTGCCGCATTCTGGATTAATTGCAGTTTCCGGTATAGTATAGTATAGTATAGTATAGTATAGTATAGTATAGTATAGTATAGTATAGTATAGTATAGTATAGTATAGTATAGTATAGTATAGTATAATACCAAAATAATTTTTGGGGGTATATACAACCAGAAACAGTATCTATGCCTCTCTTCAAGAGCATTGGCTATTCTTCTACAGTTCTCCATGACATATTGTGTTGCGCAGGGATTTTCAACTCTGACAAATATGAAAGATCAGAAAAGAGAAAGGTTTCTTTGTGTTGATGAAGAGATGGGTGTTTATTTGTCTCAAATGAGACCTGAGATTACCTGGCAAAAGCAAGCTCACACCTCTCATTGAGTTTGTATACATACTTAAGGTGCACATATAAGAGGCTTGTTTATTTATAATTATATCTGGGAGATGATTCATGTTCTTCTGTAGCTGCATTGTTTTAAACTTTCTGGGTGTCCCATAGTCAAGTAGTTGTGTTTTGTGCTATAAATCAAGCACTTATAGAAGTTGTTTCTTTGTGTTTTCTTATCAATGAAAAATTCAGTGCGGCACAAGCAAATTCTGAAAGTGTGTATTCTGAAAGTGTGGCCCAGGGGGGAAAAAACTTCGAGAACCAGTACAACAGCTCCCTCTCTTGAAAGCAGGGCAGAAGGGAGCTCTGGGATTTCATGTGACTCCAGGCTCATACACAGTTTCTTTTGACTCGTTTTCTGAGCATAAAGGTAAAGGTACCCCTGACCATTAGGTCCAGTCGTGGCCGACTCTGGGGTTGCGGCACTCATCTCGCTTTATTGGCCAAGGGAGCCGGCGTACAGCTTCCGGGTCATGTGGTCAGCATGACTAAGCCGCTTCTGGTGAACCAGAGCAGCACACGGAAACGCCGTTTACCTTCCCGCCAGAGCGGTACCTATTTATCTACTTGCACTTTGATGTGCTTTCGAACTGCTAGGTTGGCAGGAGCAGGGACCGAGCAACGGGAGCTCACCCCATCGCGGGGTTTCGAACCGCCGACCTTATGATCAGCAAGTTGTAGGCTCTGTGGTTTAACCCACAGCGCCACCCGCATCCCAGTTTCTGAGCATATTGTGTACTGATTAGTCCCCCCAAGTCCGAGACCATTTCTTATGGTTCCACGGCGGTACCTTGCGAAAACACGATCCTACCCACTGAACTGCAGCTCAGTTAAACAAAACCTCTTTGGGTTTTCCACTTGTCTTCTAAGATCTGATTCAGTAGTAAGATTGGATTTTTGCAAGGCACAGTTGCAGAACAGCAAGGAAAGCTCTCGGGCCCAAGTGTGGATGAGTCCTTTGTTATGTACTGAGCTGAATCCTAGAACAATAGGATCCAGAATGCAGCAGAATTGGTCCGCAGGAGCCACCCAATCCAGCTCCAGGTGGAAGTTGAAATATACTCGGAGTTGAGAGTGGATTTCATGCTCTTTATTCAGCTCATAGTGGTGAGGAGGAATGGAAGTTCCCCCAGAATGTCTGCTTTATACACATTATTACCCAATGGGCCCCACGTGATTGGCTAATTCTGGGATTCTCCTGTTGGCCAATCAGGTTGCGGATTCACTTCCACCTGGAGCTGGATTGGGTGGCTCCTGTGGAGAATCCTATTGTTCTAGGACCAATCAGGCTGCTGCCTATTCAACTCAGTACATAATAGAAGTGAATCAGTGACCTGATTGGCCTGCAGGAGCAGCCAATCAGGCTCCTGGATGAAGTGAGTCAGCAACCTGACTGGCCTGCAGGAGCAGCCAATCAGGCTTCTGGAGGAGGTGAATCCGCAACCCAGAATTAGCCAATCATGCGGGGCCTATTGTGTAAATAATGTATATATAGCTAGCCATTTTGGGGAAAGTTTCATTCATTGCTACTATGAGCTGAATAAAGAGCATGAAATTCACACTCGACTCCGAGTATATTTCACCTTTGTTAACTGGGATCGTCCATCTGGGGAAATCAACTGCAGGTTCCAAAGTATCAAAAGGAGGCACTTTCTCCAGGATAACCCCAAAGAGAAGTCCCTAAACCTGTTGCCGTTCTTCTCCATTCCTCCCACCTTTGTCTCTTTTAGCTTTACATGTTCACGATGCTACCACAGCTGGTCCTCACATCATGTTGTCATCTTGTTCCATATGCACCTGGAGCGATACGAGAAACAAGGGTCGGTCAGGATGAGGACCTTCAGGCAGCGATGCTACCAGTGCTCTTCAGACAAGTACGAAGAGCCACAGTTCAGCGAGGAGGATGTCATCCATAGCGTTGAGTGCTTGATCTTCAGCATCAGAAAGAAATGCTACGGGGAACACTTAGATGACAGCAGACTCTTTGAGGTGGTACATGAGAACAGGGGCCCTCACAAGCATGAGCATTGTGAAGCTTGTCACCTGGGAATACACAATGCACATTATAGGTGGCCTAGAGGTTCCGGTCATCATAGGGAGCCCCAAAGACCAGCATATCTCCCAGCCAGTCTGCAGGAGAGTAAGGCAAGCTCAACCACCTACAGCTCCTTGGCAACACTAAAATATGAAGCATTTGCAAACCACGCTGATGCCAGTTCTTGCTGGGAATGTTGTGCTTCTTTTATCTTTATTGCTTTTGTGATTGGTGCCTTCCTTGTCTACTGGAATAAGAATAAATACCTGTGATTTCTGCACCCCAGGGGGTTGGACTAGATGACTTTAGGGGTCCCTTCCAACTCTACAATTCTATGAAAAACCCAATGGCACATTACCAGAAGGTGTTCTCAAGAAGACCCAGGAGACCTTTGTCAGAGAAAACAAATGCTCAGGGAAGGGCAAATCCTCTCTTTGGCCTGGTCTCCCTTCCTTAAATGGGTCTGGATGTACCTGGGCCAAATGATAATCTAATCTATTGTTGGAATGGCATACAAAGGATAAGCAAGCTAAATCTGTGATGATAGACTGGGCAAGAGATGTGGGACATAACATAATGTTTGAAGATTGGGAGAGGTTATGGAGGAAAGGGGTCACGTTCACTGCTTGTACGGTGTTAAAGGAAAATATTATGAAAATGATGTATAGATGGTACTTAACCCCTGTAAAATTGGCCAAGATATATCATAATAGTGATAATTTATGCTGGAAATGGAAAGAAAAAGAAGGTACCTTTTATCATATGTGGTGGACCTTCCCCAAGGTGAAAGACTTCTGGGAGAAGATTTATAATGAATTGAAAAAAATGTTGAAATATACATTTATTAAGAAACCAGAGGCCTTTCTTCTTGGAATAACAGGTTTGGAATTGCCCAAGAAAGATGTTAGACTGTTTTTGTATGCCACAACTGCAGCTAGAATTTTGTTAGCTAAGCATTGGAAAACACAAGAAGCCCCAACAGTGGAGGAATGGCAGATGAAGATGATGGACTTTTCGGAGCTAGCCGACCTGACTGGAAGAGTCTGTGACCAGAAGGAGGAGTACCAGGAGGAATGGATGAAATTCAAAGACTATTTAGTTAAATATGCTAAGATAACTTAATGGGAAAAACTTGCAAATACCAGATAGGCTTAGGATTTAAATATGTAATGTTAGAGAATAACATGTTTAAAGTTAAAATGAAAAGAAAGAAAGATGTTAAGTGATTAAGTTAATTTTATGAGAAAATTGGTTTTGGAAAACTGTTACAATGATATACTCTGGAACTCAGCCAGGGGGATTCTAGGAAGTCACTAAACAAGGTTACTTAGATTGGATTAAGTACAGTTAAGATGTATGTTTGTTTGTTTGCTTAATTTTTTGGGGGGAAAATCAATATTTTTTTGGGGGAAATATATATATATCTAATCCAAGGATTGTAGAGCTGCAAGGGACTCTGAGGATCATTTTGCATTTCAAACCTGGCTGGACGTGTGCTGGTTCAGCGGGAGCGCAGAAAAGTTCCAGAATGTGATGATGGCATGAAGTCTAGCTTGCTTTTTAAAAAATACTCGTAGCCTCTTTCTCCACTTTAAGCTTGCAAAGATTTGTCTACAAGTGTGTGGTGGCAGTAGCAATGACCGTGTGAAATCTCAAAAAGCCACATGCGTGGTTCAATAAAATGGCAACTCTATACACAATTGTTGTTGTTTAGTCGTGTCCGACTCTTCGTGACCCCCTGGACCAGAGCACGCCAGGCCCTCCTGTCTTCCACTGCCTCCCCAGTTTGGTCAAACTCATGCTGGTAGCTTCGAGAACACTGTCCAACCATCTTGTCCTCTGTCGTCCCCTTCTCCTTGTGCCCTCCATCTTTCCCAACATCAGGGTCTTTTCCAGGGAGTCTTCTCTTCTCATGAGGTGGCCAAAGTCTTGGAGCCTCAGCTTCAGGATGTGTCCTTCCAGTGAGCACTCAGGGCTGATTTCCTTCAGAATGGAGAGGTTTGATCTTCTTGCAGTCCATGGGACTCTCAAGAGTCTCCTCCAGCACCAGTAACTCAAAAGCATCAGCAATCAGCCTTCTTTATGGTCATCACTGCCTTGCCGTGGTGAAGGGGCTTGAATAACTCAGAGAAGCTATGAACTACGCCAAGCAGGGCACCCAAGATGGACAGGTCATAGTGGTGAGTTTTGACCAAATGTGATCCACCTGGAGGAGGAACCAGCAAGCCACTCCAGTATCCCTGCCAAGAAAACTCCATGGACAAAGACACCAGGCATACACAATTACCTGTGCAATTGAATTTAATGGGGGGGGTCTACACCTGAGCAGACGTGCATAGGATTGCAGTGCACCATTTGCAGACATTGGAGGGTGGAGTGTCAGTGCCATGTGGCACTAACAGAAGGTATGTGACTCAAGAGGGTGGTAAATCACACATTTTCTCCATCTGCATCATTGGCGGAGGCTGCAGAATTTGGTTTATCTTGTTGCAGAAGTTTAATTATTTTTTAGGGAGGATTACAAAAAGCCCTGAGAATGTATGAACTCGATGCAAAAAAGGAATCAAAAGCAGGTCTTAACAGATTTAAAACAATACCAAAACAAAACAGTGGTGTTTCCAGCAAGTCCCTGAGATTTTTGGGTGCTGCCGCCTTCTTCTGTCTGTTCCAGGCATGGAGAACCTTGCTGGGTTCCAGCTCCCAACATCCTTGACTTTGGGCCTTGATGGCTTGGGCTGATGGGAGTTGGAATCCAACAGCATTACAGGTTCTCCACCCCAGATGTGTGACATCATGGATGCCTTCTCTCCAGTTAGGCCCTGGGCAAATCTATCCCAGTCTGCTCCAACTCACGGGAGCTTTTCAGGTGTTCAGGTAGAGGAGTCTTCTGCAGACCTGGTACCCAAGGTGCTTTTGGCTAGAAATGATGGGGATTGAATTAAAAACCACCTGTACACAATGTGTGCTTTCATTTAGCTGCGATCCCTCCCCACCACAAATGCGTCTCCAGCATAGCTGTCAACTTGCAGATTTGAAAATAAGGGACCAGCAGCCTTGAAAATAAGGGATCAGCAGCCAAAATAAGGGATTTTCAGAGCACTGGTACGTTCAACTTCTGAGCCCCTCCGAGCCAAAGGCAGAAAGCCCAGCCAGCAGCCAAACGAAGCCTCAAGCGGTGGTTCCCACAGCACAGCAACCCGCCAAAGGGGATGCAGCAAGGAAAACCACCGCCACCTCTCTGCTGGGAAGCGCTGAGCAAAGGTGAGTCCCTAGGCAACGCGCCACAAGGCATGCAAGCTCCACCCCCCAGTCGTTCTTAGACTCCTTATTGGGTGAGCAACGCAGCCAAGCAACCCAGTTGGAGCCTCCCTCCTCCCTGGCTGGCAGGGAGGGAGGGAGAGGAGCTGCTTCCTTTGAAACCCGGGAAATTTAAGGGACATCATCAATAAGGGACAGCAGTGGGACATGGCGCTGGGATAAGGGACTTTCTCACCAAATAAGGGACAGTTGACAGCTATGGTCTCCAGCTACCATGCCATGCATTTCCCCTGAGATTTATTTTGAGTCCTAGTTAACAGACTTTCTTTCCAAGCACGACTGTGTGCTGCAGAAGACATGCACAATTTTTAAAAGCTTTCACAAACCAAACCTCCCCAAACCATGTTGATCCAAGCTTTTTGGGTCCCCATAAAGTCAAATCCATCATCAAATAACCCAGGGGAGCAGGTCAGCTTCAGCTATTGAAGCAGAGTTCAGTTCAGCAGGATGTAGGATCCAGGCCAGGCCTCTCTCTCATTTTTGGAGACAGCAAGATTCTGAACTGCGGCAGATGCTCAATTTTCTTTTGCTTTGGGTTCTTCGTACGGTTGGGAGACTTCAGTATTGCTCTCCTGTGACCTGTTTAATCCAAGGCAGAGTCAGCAGGACGTTGGAATACACTCCATAGCGGTCATTCAAGCCGCATCCATCGCCCCAAGACACTGTCCCGATGAGCTGCCACTGGCCAGTCTGGTTGTTGAGAGTGACCATGGGGCCGCCGGAGTCCCCTTGGCAAGCGTCTTTTCCTCCTGCGTGAGAAAGAGAGAAACAATAATGGCCGGGGCATCTTTCAGACCAGAAAAGCCACCTGTTCTACGTGGAGTTTGCAAAGGTACAGAACAGGAGCTAGAATCAAAATAATAGAATGGTAGAGTTGGAAGGGACCCTGAGGGTCATCTAGTCCAGCCCCCTGCACTGCAGGAATCTCAACTAAATCATGCATGACAGACTAGCGTCCAACCTGCATCTGGGCACTTATCTCCCTGCCCCAAAGGGGACGATTGGCACAGTGATCATTGACTCTCCTTGGTTCCATGAACTCATCCCCAGTGACCCCCAACCCTATATAGAGCCTAGGGTATAAAGACCCCTGGTGTGAAGGAACAAGTTACTCAAACCTGACTGTGCAGTCACCCGAACCGGGCCCCAAAATTCCCGATTTTCTTTCTTCAAGGATCCATTAGCTAAAATCCATTAGCTTGAGCTGTATAACACAAACCCAGCTGTATAAACAGCTTTATCAGACCATGAAGGCTTAATGGATGGCCTTGTCAGTTCCGAGTGGAGACGGGATGGCAGATCTGGGCCTTATTATAGGTTGTAACTATCCTGACCACACTGACGCACAGACCTTGCAAGACAGGCCTGTCAGCCCCTGCTCCCGGGGATGGCGCCAGGAGTACTCCTATAGTTGGGTGACCTTTTTACCCCAAGATAAGAGTACAGAAACAGGAATTTCTGTTCATGCTCAAGGATGTAATTTACGTGTACAAACTCATGAGGCTGGATTCCTGGGGAGGGGGAAAGGGGACCTGAAGGGGATATAAGCTGTATGCAACTGCTCTTTAAGTGTGCTTGCTGTGACTGATCACGCAGTGCCTTTCTGCTATCCGGAAAGCAGAAATAAACTCTTTCTCTGAACCAACCCTTGGTGTCTATTGACTCCTCCCTCCCTCCCGGGAGCAACGCGCACCCAACCCATGGGAAAGGTCTGAAAGGCTACAGGTGGACTTGTAAAAGGGTAAAAGAGTATTGGGAAATGATCTACAATGAATAGAAAAAAATGTTTAAAAGTACTTTTTGGGGAAAAACAGAGTCCTTTTCGTTGGGGATAATTTAGACTGAAATTCTCAGGTGTCAAAAAAGGCCCGTGTTTTGCTAGCCCCCAAATGGAAAATGAGCGAGGTCCCAACCAAAGAAGAATGGCAACTCAAACTGATGGAATATGCTCAACTTGCGGACCCAACATATAGAATAAGAGAACAAGAAGAACACGTTTAGAGACGACTGGAAAATACTTATTGAATATATGGGGTGGGGGTGGAAATTGAAAACGTCAGCAGCATTAAGATAAATTCAACAGTGTAAATAAGTTTTGACGGATGTAACAATGGAATACTGAATGGTTTAGTTTATGTAAAGTATGCAGGGATTTACAGTATGCAAAATGAACCATGGAACATTGAAGAAGGGAAGTCATTAGTATTTTAAGGTTGTTTAAATGAATATTCTAAAATGTAAAACAGAAAATTTAATAAAAATATATTTTAAGTTTGGGTGTAATCTTCGACACCTCCCTTTCCATGGAGGCGCAGATTGCAGCTATAACAAAGGCGGCATTTTTTCATCTCCTTACCTCTCTCGCCCTGACCTAGCCACTGTGATCCACGCGACGGTCACCTCCAGACTGGATTATTGTAACTCGCTCTACGTGGGGCTGCCCTTGAGACTGACCCAGAAACTCCAGCGGGTGCAGAATGCCGCGGTGAGACTCCTTACAGGGTCTTCGCTGCGAGATCACATTCACCCAGTGCTATACCAGCTGCACTGGCTCCCGGTGGAGTACAGGATCAGGTTTAAGGTGCTGGTTTTAACCTTTAAAGCCCTATACGGCCTAGGACCCTCGTACCTATGGGACCGCCTCTCCTGGTATGTCCCACGGAGGACCTTATGGTCTTCAAACAAAAACATCTTGGAGGTCCCAGGCCACAGAGAGGTTAGACTGGCCTCAACCAGAGCCAGGCCTTTTTCGGCTGTGGCTCCGATCTGGTGGAACGCTCTGTCCCAAGAGACTAGGACCCTGCGGGACTTGACATCTTTCCACAGGGCCTGCAAGACGGAGCTGTTCCACCAAGCCTTTGGCCAAGGCAGAGTCTGACTCCCTCCTTTGGCAATCTTCACAGAACTCTAGCCCAATGGTTGCCATCAATTTGATTTGAATTAATTTTATAATGAAATGATTTTAGAATGTTGTATTATTTTATTGTTGTTAGCCGCTCTGAGCCCGGCTTCGGCTGGGGAGGGCGGGATATAAATAAATTATTATTATTATTATTGTTGTTGTTGTTGTTGTTGTTGTTTAGTCATGTCTGACTTTTCGTGACCCCATGGACCAGAGCACGCCAGGCACCTCTGTCCTCCACTACCTCCCAGACCCAAGGAATGTAATAACACAATAAAATTCAAAATGGCAGCAATTAATTGCACATTTATTCAGAATCACCTTCTCTTTCTCCAGCGCAGATCATGTCTCCTGTCACGACTTTCTGCAGCTTGCGATAGGCTTCTTTGCACACTGCGTGATCTGCCAGTGGGATCTCAATCTGCAACACAGAACAAAAAAATGACTTCTGGGATAAAGAGGAGTCTGGCCTCATTTGCCTGAATGGTCCTCCTTTGTGAAACACACAAAACTGCCTTCTACTAGGTCAGACTGTTGGTCCACTTAGTTCAGTATTGTCTGCACAGACTGGTAGTGGTTCGGCAAGGTTTCACGCAGGAATCTCTTCCAACCCCACCTGCTAGGGTCTGAACCTGAGACCTTCTGCGTGCAAAGCAAATATTCTTCCCCTGAGCTATGGACTTTCTCCAAAGACTTCATAGATTTTAATATTTAATACTATTAATAGTATTTTAATATTCTTTTGGAAGCCGCCCAGAGTGGCTGGGGAAGCCCAGCCAGATGGGCGGGGTATAAAAAATAAATTATTATTATTATTATTATTATTATTATTATTATTATTATTATTATTATTATTTGCTAATCCCATAATTCATAGGATTCTGGTCCATAGGATGACTAAGGAACCACTAAGTGCCACTCTATTCCGCCTTGGCCAAGCCACACCTGGAACCCTGTGTCCAGTTCTGGGCATCACAGTTTTAGAAGGATATTGACAACCTGGAATGGGTGCAGAGGAGGGTGAACAAGATGACCAGGGGTCTGAAAACTGAGCCATATGAGGAATAGTTGAGGGAGTTGTGTATATTTAGCCTGGAGAAGAGAAGACATGATAGGTAAAGGTAAAGGGACCCCTGACCATTAGGTCCAGTCGTGACCGACTCTGGGGTTGCGGCGCTCATCTCACTTTATTGGCTGAGGGAGCCGGCGTACAGCTTCCGGGTCAAGTGGCCAGCATGACTAAGCCGCTTCTGGTGAACCAGAGCAGTGCACGGAAATGCCATTTACCTTCCCACCAGTGCGGTACCTATTTATCTACTTGCACTTTGACGTGCTTTCGAACTGCTAGGTGGGCAGGAGCTGGGACAGAGCAATGGGAGCTCACCCCGTCACGGGGATTTGAACTGCTGATCTTCTGATCAGCAAGTCCTAGGCTCTGTGGTTTAACCCACAGCGCCACCCGCATCCCTAAAGACATGATAGCCAGCTTCAAATATCTGAAGGGCTGCCACAGGGAAGATGGAGTAAACTTGTGGATTTTTTTTTTGCTGCTCCAGATGGTAGAGCCCAAACCAATGGATTCAAATTGCTAGAAAGGAGATTATGACTTAATGTTAAAACTTTCTGATAGTAAGAGCTGTTCAACAGTGAAACGGACTACCTTGGATGGAGGTTTTTCCAGAGGGGTTGGGTTGTGTGGCCACCTGTCAGGGAATTTTCAGCTGTGATTCCTGCACTGTAGGCAATTGGACTTGTTGACCATGGGGGCCCCTTGCAACTCAACAATCCTTTGATTCTAAGTGTCAAGCTTGTGCTCCCCTCATCACACGAAGAAATGGAAAGAGGGGGCAACAACTGTGTTATGTACTGAGTTGAATAGGATTCAGAATGCAGTAGTCTGATTGGTCCTAGAACAATAGGATTCAGAATGCAGCAGTCTGATTGGTCCTAGAACAATAGGATTCAGAATGCAGCAGTCTGATTGGTCCTAGAACAGTAGGATTCAGAATGCAGCAGTCTGATTGGTCCTAGAACAGTAGGATTCAGAATGCAGCAGTCTGATTGGTCCTAGAACAATAGGATTCAGAATGCAGCAGTCTGATTGGTCTGCAGGAACCACCCAACCCAACTCCAGGTGGAAGTGAATCAGCAACCTGATTGGCCTACAGGAGAATCCCGGAATTAGCCAATCACGTGGGGCCCATTGTGAAAATAATGTATATAAAGCAGACACTTCTGGGAAACATTCCATTCCTCACTAACAATGAGCATGAAATCCACACTCGACTCTGAGTATATTTCAGACTGAGACGTCTACGCCTGCTCCCTAACTATACTGCAATTCCATTCCATTCTCAGATGTACACAGTAATGAATGACAAGGAGCATCACCTCCATCAGGGCATCTGGGAGACGTTGCAGGAACTGCTTCCCCCATCCGCTGACGATGACCATGGTGTCTAGTGGGAGGGAAAAAGAAGAAGACAGACATTGTATTACCTTTCGGGAGGTGACCGGGAGAGGAAGTAGGATGTGTCATTCCTGGCAGTCTGATGAAGCGAACCAGACCCTCCTAGGGTGATCTTTCCTTCCCACTGCTCAAAAACACCTGTTGCAGGTGTGAAGCACCTTTGGCCCTCCATGTGCACACATGCTGCAAGGCGCGCCAATGTCCCTTGCGCATGCCGTGTGATGTGCTGACCTGTCGTGCACATACTGTGCGGTTTGTGTGTGTGACACGAGCACGGCCCATGGTGTGCGCAAGTGAGGTGAGCACATCACACTGTGTGCATCCATGGTTGCTGTGGAATTTGGAGAAGGCCCAGACCCTCCTTGAAAATTTTGGGGGGCCCTCACCCGCCTGGGCTACCCATAGTTGGTGCCCCTGGATGCATTAAAATTACCAATGAAGAATCTCTATAATTGTCGCCTTTCAGTTAGATCTAGCATCCATGAAGTTTGATCGTTCAAAACAGAACTTGCATGCCATTCCCTTGGAACTGAAATATCTGGTGTTTTCAGGGTTCCTAAGTTTTGGAGCATACAGGGGCTAAAAAGCTCACCTTTCGTGCTGATTGTGCACCTCCAGGAGACTGTGGGATGCAATCCACTGAGAGCAGTCAAGTACAACATTCCTTGTTTTGCTAGAGTGGACATGCAAGGGAATGTTTGGTCCAGCCAGTTGAAACTTCCTGTTCTCCTGGCCTGGAGCACCCTTCCTCTTGCATGTGACTAGACCTTTCCAGACCTGGTAAAAGGACAAGCCATGCTGCCACTCTCCCTCTTTTCCATCTTCTTTTCATCCTTGAACTGGGCTCAGGAGCAAACGGGCAGCCAAGCCGATGCGATTCTTTCAGAATCCATGGGAATCTAATTCTGCATTGGTTAAAAAGGTAAAGGTAAAGGTACCCCTGCCCGTACGGGCCAGTCTTGACAGACTCTGGGGTTGTGCGCCCATCTCACTCAAGAGGCCGGGGGCCAGCGCTGTCCGGAGACACTTCCGGGTCACGTGGCCAGCGTGACATCGCTGCTCTGGCGAGCCAGAGCCACACACGGAAACACTGTTTACCTTCCCGCTAGAAAGCGGTCCCTATTTATCTACTTGCACCCGGGGGTGCTTTCGAACTGCTAGGTTGGCAGGCGCTGGGACCGAGCAACGGGAGCGCACCCCGCCGCGGGGATTCGAACCGCCGACCTTTCGATCGGCAAGCATTGGTTAAAGTTCTGCCTTAATCAATGCTTCTGAGCCAGCTTAAAGGGCTGGCTGCTGCTTCTCCAATTGACATTGTCTGGTGGAAGGATGGAGCCACCTCCTTACCTTTTGGGAAGGCTCTATCTGGAAAGCAAACGGGCATCACGTAATCATTCAGCCTGGCCTCTTCAGACAGTTCCACCAGGGCGATGTCATACTCAAAGGTGGCCGCCTTGTAGGATGGGTGGATGGAGATTGTTTGGGGCTGCAGCTCCTGCTCTGTGTCATCTTTCCTTTGGGTTCTGTGTTTCCCTGCAGAAAGTCAGAAAGAGAGGCTGGAAATGTGAGAAAGTGTATCCGGAACAGGAAGCTGTCATCTACAGAATCATGACCCTAAGTCCGCTGAGACCACATAACACTGGTCCTGAAAGACCTACATTGGCTCTTAGTACGTTTCCGAGCACAATTCAAAGTGTTGGTGCTGACCTTGAAAGCCCAAAATGGCCTCAGCCCAGTAGACCTGAAGGAGCGTCTCCACCCCCATCATCCATCCCTGACACTGAGGTCCAGCTCCGAGGGCCTTCTGGCGATTCCCTCCCTGTGAGAAGTGAGGTTACAGGGAATCAGGCAGAGGGCCTTCTTGGTAGTGGCGCCCGCCATGTGGAACGCCCTCCCACCAGATGTCAAGGAAATAAACAACTTTCTGACTTTTAGAAGACATCTGAAGGCAGCCCTGTTTAGGGAAGTTTTTAATGTTTGATGTTCTATTGTGTTTTCAATATCCTGTTGGAAGCTGCCCAGAGTGGCTGGGGAGGCCTGGCCAGATGGGCAGGGTATAAGTAATAAATTATTATGATTGAGTTCAGTTTTGCCAACACAGGCTGGCAGTGGGTCTCCAGGGTTTCAGACGGGGCAGGTGCTCAGTTCCACCTGGAGATGCTGTGAATTGAACCAGGCATCTTCTGTGTGGAAAGCAGAAGCTCTGCTGCTGAGCTATTGCTCTTGAACACTTCATGAAACTGCAGGAATAATAATAATAATAATAATAATAATAATAATAATTTCTTATTTATATCCCCGCCCTTCCCGATTCAAAAACCGGGCTCAGGGCGGCTAACAACAAATTTAAAACACTTAATTATAAAAGCAGCATAAAATACAGTTAAAAAGCATGAATAACAATAAAATTCAAAATTCAAAAATCAGTTTAGGGGAAATAAGCATTAGATAGTCCCCAGGGCTAGCTGGCTGAATTGGTCCTACTTGGGCCAGCGAGGAGGCCAGGGGAGAATTAGCTGTGGGGTCTCAGGGCGGGTGAGGGAAGGGGAATAAAAGATCAGGCTGAATTCAAATTAAAGGCCAGGTGGAATAGCTGTCTTACAGGCCCAACGAAAGGAGGCCCTAGTCTCATGGGACAGAGCATTCCAGCAGGTCGGAGCCACCACTGAGAAGGCCCTGGTGGAGGATAGTCTGACTTCCTTAGGGCCCAGGACCTCTAAACTATGGTTATTCATGGACCTTAAGGTCCTCTGTGGGGCAGACCAGGAGAGGCGGTCCTGTAAGTGCGAGGGCCCTAAGCCCAGAGAACAGCTCTTATGCTCGGGTCCCGGTTGCAGGTTTCCCACAGGCATCTAATTGGCCACTGTGAGGAGAAGATACCGAACTACCTAGACCATTGGCCTGATCCAGAAGACTCATTTCATGTTCTTATAATATAGAATTTCTGAGACACATGCTGCTCTCCTGGGCAACCGCCTCTCGCTTACCTAGGATCACCTTGAACGACGAAGGGCTGATCACGTCAGAGCTTCGGAGGACAGGATTCTCCAGGTCGAGTTCATGGTGGAGACAGTGAGCGGCCGTCACAATCCACCTGTTCCCTGGGGAACAAGAAAGGGCTAAGATGGTGACATGATGGTTGTCTTCAAAGAGCTGTTTGACTCCCTTGTGAAGTGGTAGACTCTCCTTCCTTGGAGGTTTTTAAGCAGAGGTTGGGTGGGATTAAATTTCAAATCAAATCCCTTTCTTGGCATCATAGTATAAAACATTTCAGGTCACTGGGATAATGAAAGGAACAAGGGTGAAGCTGTCAAGGGTCCTGTAGAGGATCTTAAGGTCCATGAATAATCATAGTTTAGGGTTCCGGGTCCTAAGGAAGTCAGATTATCCTCCACCAGGGCCAGGGCCTTCTCAGTGATGGCTCCGACCTGGTGGAATGCTCTGTCCCAGGAGACCAGGGCCCTGCAGGATTTAACCTCCTTCCGTCGGGCCTGTAAGACAGAGCTATTCCACCTGGCCTTTAATTTGAATTCAGCCTTATCTTTTATTTCCTTCCCTTCCCTCCCCCTCCCCTTTTATGAAGAATCATTTGACTTCTTCTTGGAGTTCTAGGCTGGAGGTCCAACGTTTTGCTCTCGGGGATTATTTAGCTGTGATTCCTGCATTGCACAAGGCTGGTCTGGATGATACCCTGGGTCGCTTTTACCCGTACAGTTTCTCTGGTTCTATGAATGCCAGTATAGCATTTACATCATAAAATGGATGGATCATTGTTGTGTCATTCTATGATATTATGCCTGTTATGTACTGAAGTTCTCACCCTGGGCCAGCAGGGGGATACTGTAGATAGTTTTCACTCAGGTCCACATATGCAAATAAGGGATTGAAAGTGACGTTCAGTGATTGGATAGTTACAGAAAGTGGTTACTGTTGTGTTGTAGTGGAGCTCTATATAAGCAGGCTGACTGAACCCTTCAGTTCTGTCCTGGCCTGTGAATAAACAAGAGCTGTTTGAAGAATCGCTGTGTCGTCTGATATGTTCACCCACAACTTAACAATGCCCTCAAGTCCTAGCCTGCCCTAGCCATTGCCGGTAGTCTCAGACCTGGAAGCCGGTTTCTCAAGCGCTCTGGCGAAGTGGAAATCCGCTCCACTTCAAGGTGGGGAGGAGTTGTGGCGGACTGCGTGGCCACCCACTCCCCACAGAGGCGGGGGACGAAGTCCCGTCTTGTCCTGGGGATCCCAGCCGCGTCAACACTCAGCCAGCCAATCCGCTGGCTGGTGGGAGAGTGGCCGGGACCATTTAAGTGAGGGCACGAGCCGGAGGGCTTCCTCTTGGCTCGCTTCCTCCATCTCCCGCCCGCCCTCCCTTTTTGCAGGTTTTCATTGGCCTTGCTATGGACCTCGGTTGGTCACCGTTGAGGGGCCTGTAAGGAATTTTCCCACTTGGCAAAATTGGCACAGGCCATTTGGTTTCCGACTACCTCTCAGCAATCGTCTCAACTTTGTAAGGTTCTGCGGTTAGGCATTGTTTGACCTTGTGATGGGGGAGGGGAGGTGTGGCCATCAACAGCCCCTCCAAGCTTAAGGGTATTCCGTTAAAGGAATCCGGGGGCGTGGATCTTGTCCGAAGCCCGGGGTGGGGCTAGGGCCATGACACGACCCCGATGGGAACACCTGGGAGAGCTTGAGTTGGTCTGCATCGATGGGGCTCCCCCTTCTGGTGGTTTACCCTTACCGGACTCCCTGCGCAATGGGCAGGAGTCAGATATAGTTTGGTCCATTCAATGCCTAAGCCAATTACCGCTCACATTCTGTAATCAATAAAGCTGTGACCAAAATTTGCCCAATAACATAAACCTAATATCTGTGTCCTGGTGTGCTTTATTCTTCAACGAGGGGGTGGTTGCGGGGTCTAGACATGTGTTATGTACTGAGTTGAATAGGATCCAAAAGGCAGCAGTCTGACTGGTCCTAGAACGGGGGTCGGCAACCTGCGGCTCCAGAGCCGCATGCGGCTCTTTAAAGCCTTTGCTGCGGCTCCGGGGCGGTGGCGAGGGGAGGAGGCGAGGGGCGGAGGCGAGGGGCGGAGGTGACCAGCCTGCCGCCCGGCGGGCGGGGCGTCGTAAAGCAGAGCGCCCCCCTCGCCAGGCAGACATCCGCAGCGTGGGGAGCCTTGCCGGACTTCCCGGCAAGGCTCCCGACGCTGCGGATAGCAGCCTGCCGCCCGGTGGGCGGGGCGCCCTAAAGCAGAGCGGCCCCCTCGCCAGGCAGACATCCGCAGCGTGGGGAGCCTTGCCGGAGGTCCCGGCAAGGCTCCCCACGCTGCGGATAGCAGCCTGCCGCCCGGCGGGCGGGGCGCCGTAAAGAAGAGCGCCCCCCTCGCCAGGCAGACATCCGCAGCGTGGGGAGCCTTGCCGGAGGTCCCGGCAAGGCTCCCCACGCTGCGGATAGCAGCCTGCCGCCCGGCGGGCGGGGCGCCGTAAAGAAGAGCGCCCCCCTCGCCAGGCAGACATCCGCAGCGTGGGGAGCCTTGCCGGAGGTCCCGGCAAGGCTCCCCACGCTGCGGATAGCAGCCTGCCGCCCGGCGGGCGGGGCGCCGTAAAGAAGAGCGCCCCCCTCGCCAGGCAGACATCCGCAGCGTGGGGAGCCTTGCCGGACTTCCCGGCAAGGCTCCCCACGCTGCGGATAGCAGCCTGCCGCCCGGCGGGCGGGGCGCCGTAAAGAAGAGCGCCCCCCTCGCCAGGCAGACATCCGCAGCGTGGGGAGCCTTGCCGGAGGTCCCGGCAAGGCTCCCCACGCTGCGGATAGCAGCCTGCCGCCCGGCGGGCGGGGCGCCGTAAAGAAGAGCGCCCCCCTCGCCAGGCAGACATCCGCAGCGTGGGGAGCCTTGCCGGAGGTCCCGGCAAGGCTCCCCACGCTGCGGATAGCAGCCTGCCGCCCGGCGGGCGGGGCGCCGTAAAGAAGAGCGCCCCCCTCGCCAGGCAGACATCCGCAGCGTGGGGAGCCTTGCCGGAGGTCCCGGCAAGGCTTCCCACGCTGCGGATAGCAGCCTGCTGCCCGGCGGGCGGGGCGCCCTAAAGCAGAGCGCCCCCCTTGCCAGGCAGACATCCGCAGCGTGGGGAGCCTTGCCGGACTTCCCGGCAAGGCTCCCCACGCTGCGGATAGCAGCCTGCCGCCCCGCAGGCATCGGCCAGCCCCACAAGCTCGGGGGACAGCAGGGAGGCGAAGCGCCGCCATCCCGCTGTTCCTCGACCTGGTTCAGTTTCCCCGACCTGCTTTTGGGGGGGAAATAAAGGGAAATTTTTCCCCCTTTATTTCCCCCCCAAAAAACTAGGTGCGTCCTATGGGACGGAGCGTCCTATGGGGCGAAAAATACGGTATTTTTATAATGACGAATGCCTCATTATTAATTATTATTTACATCAGGCACTGATTATGATTTATGGTACACTGGGGCCCTGATTAATTTTCTATGGCATTTTGGGGCATTGATTATTGGGCATAGCAAGTCGCGGTCGCGTGGAATTTGTGCTTTGTGACCGTTTGAAGTGGGGTTTTTTTCTTGGGAGGCTGGGCGGCACGAAGAGAGGGATTATTTTTATAATGATGAGGATGACATTGGGCCCTCATTATTAATTATTATTTACATCAGGCACTGATTATGATTTATGGTTCACTGGGGCCCTGGTTAATTTTCTTTGGCATTTTGTGGCATTGATTATGCAGTCGCGGTCGCGTGGAATTCCACGTGGAGTTAGTTGCCTGAAGCCCCTTTTTAGTTGCTTGAAGCCCCTTTTTAAACTTAAGCAGGTGAAAGTTTGGTGAATTGCTGCCAAGGAGTGTGGTGGAGTCTCCTTATTTGGAGGTCTTTAAGCAGAGGCTTGACAACCATATGTCAGGAGTGCTCTGATGGTGTTTCCTGCTTGGCAGGGGGTTGGACTCGATGGCCCTTGTGGTCTCTTCCACATATGTATGTGAGCAGGTCTTCTCCAACATGAACTATATTAAAAACAAGCACCGATCACGCCTCACAGATGACAGCTTGCAAGCCTGTGTGAAAATGAAGGTGACGTCTTACAGCCCTGATGTGCAGACACTGAGCACTGAGGTTCAGGAGCAAAAGTCCCATTAACCTGGTTACCTGGTTGTAAATTAAATATTTTAATTAGCTATTAATTTGTCCTTTTTTCTTGAGATTGACAGCTGACTGCACGATCCTGTATATATAGCATTAAGGCCAGAAACAATATATGTAGTGTTATATTTGTTTTAAATGTTGCAATGTTTTTGCGGCTCCCAGTTGTTGTTGTTTTTTCGGAAACGGGTCCAAGTGGCTCTTTTTGTCTTAAAGGTTGCAGACCCCTGTCCTAGAACAATAGGATTCAGAATGCAGCAGTCTGATTGGTCCTAGAACAATAGGATTCAGAATACAGCAGTCTGATTGGTCCTAGAACAATAGGATCCAGAATGCAGCAATCTGATTGGTCCACAGGAGCCACCCAATCCAGCTCCAGGTGGAAGGGAATCCTCAACCTGATTGGCCTACAGGAGAATCCCGGAATTAGCCAATCACGTGGGGCCCATTGTGTAAATAATGTATATAAGGCAGACATTCTGGGGGAACTTCCATTCCTTCTCACCACTATGAGCTGAATAAAGACCATGAAATCCACTCTCGACTCCGAGTATATTTCAACATGCAAGAGTGGACCCCCCCAGAGGTCCTTACCTAGGAGGGACCCCCCACAGAAAGGGCGCCCGTTCCTCTGCAGCATGGCGGCCCACGGCGAGATCCCTCTCTGGGCGTAGCGTCCATTGGCAATTCGAGCAAGCAGACTCCTGGAGAACCTGGGTTTCCCACACACTGAAAGAGAAGAGAAAGGATGGATTTAGCGAGGAGGAGATCGTACCATCACAGAACTGCAGAGTTGGAAGGTCCAAGCCCTTGCAACTCATGTCTTTCTGATCTGCTGGCAGCCACCCCATCCCTCTGGGACCCGACAAAGAGGGCAAGGGTGGGGGAGGACGGCTGAGGTTTAACCCTTGCACAACTGCAAGGAAGTGGAGACCATATTTCTAGCTGGTACCCGGAGTTCCTGCTGGGCCACTGTAATGAGAAATGGCTGCATGCCTTTTTAATTTGTTTTTTAAAAAATATCCTGGTGTTATCACACCTGATTCTCACCTCCTGATAATTCAGTGGCCAGTACCTCCCTTAAAGGGGATGCAGGTGGCACTGTGGATTAAACCACAGAGCCTAGGACTTGCCGATCAGAAGGTCAGCGGTTCGAATCCCCGCGACGGGGTGAGCTCCCGTTGCTCTGTCCCTGCTCCTGCCCACCTAGCAGTTCGAAAGCACGTCAAAGTGCAAATAGATAAATAGGTACCGCTCCGGTGGGAAAGTAAACGGCGTTTCCGTGTGCTGCTCTGGTTCGCCAGAAGCGGCTTAGTCCTGCTGGCCACATGACCCGGAAGCTGTACACCAGCTCCCTTGGCCAGTAAAGCGAGATAAGCGCTGCAACCCCAGAGTCGGTCACAACTGGACCTAATTGTCAGGGGTCCCTTTACTTTACCTACCTCCCTTAAAAATCACAACTGGAATAGCAAGAGACAGTATGGTGTTGTGGTTTGGGTGTTAGACCTGGGAGATTGGGGTTCTAGTCTCCCCGCAGCCATGAAATTCATTGGGTGACCTTGGGTCAGTCAATGCCTCTCAGCCTAGCCTGCCTCGCAGGGTGGTAGGGAGGAGAGAAAACCGTGTACACCATCTTGAGCTCCTTGGAGGAAAGATGGGATATAATTGCAATAGATACGTAAGTCCCAGTGCACTGACTTCTCTCTTCCTCCAAGGCTGGTTGGCAATGGATGCCTCTTGCTGTGATGAACGTTCCCATGATTTCCCAATTATTGCTCCCCCTCAACATTATTGGGGAGGGGGGCATAGCTGTCAACTTACAGATTTGAAAATAAGGGACCAGCAGCCTCGAAACTAAGGGATCAGCAGCCAAAATAAGGGATTTTCCAAGGGGCACAGGTATGTTCAAATTCTGAGCCCCTCCAAGCCAAAGGCAGAAAGCCGGTGTGATGGCCTGGGAATCCGATTCAGAGGCTGAACCGGAGGAATCCCAGCCTGCACAGGAGTCCCCGCCTCCAGGGCCGGCTGAGCTGGGGCGGGGCCTTGATTCTGAAGCGCCTGCACCTGTGCCGGATCCTCAGGAGCAGGCACCAGGTGAATCCACTCTGGCTCCGGAGGCGATTGAGGACGCATTGCCTACAGGTGCGCCTCTCCCAGCCCTGCCAGGGGAAAGTGAGTCTCCCCCTGGGTCCAGTAACCCATCGGCCTCTCCTGAGCTGCAGAGGCTCAGGGCAGAGAAGCGGAGGGAACTGGTTTCTCCCAGGAGGAGTGCCCGCCTTAAGGCCAGGAGAGGCGGGTCACCTGGGGGACCGGGACCACCCCTGGACTCAGAGGAGATAAAGGCCAGTCAGCCCAGTCCCAGGTTGTGGGAGCAACGTCGTTGAAGAGCTGTTTCGGCCAGCATCCAGTCCTGTTCCCCCAGAGCTCCTGTCCTTGCCCAGCTCCTCGCTGTGGACCCCGCTTTGCCCGTGGAGGACTGTCTGCCGACCCTCGACTCAGGTCCTGGACCTCGCCCCACGGTAACCTCCCCCCTGGACCAGCACACCCGGCCAGCAGCCAAGCAAAGCCTCAAGCGGTGGTTCCCACAGCGCAGCAACCCGTCAAAGGGGATGCAGCAAGGAAAACCACCGTCACCTCTCCGCTGGGAAGTGCTGAGCAAAGGCGAGTCCCCAGGCAAGGCGGCCGATTTGATCGGCACAAGGCATGCAAGCTCCACCCCCCAGTCGTTCTTAGACTCCTTATGGGGTGAGCAACGCAGCCAAGCAACACATTTGGAGCCTCCCTCCTCCCTGGCTGGCAGGGAGGGAGGGAGAGGAGCTGCTTCCTTTGAAACCCGGGAAATTTAAGGGACATCATCAATAAGGGACAGCAGCGGGACACGGCGCTGGGATAAGGGACTTAACTGCCAAATAAGGGACGGTTGACAGCTATGGTGGGGGGTTGTTGCTTCCAAGTCTCACCCTCCCTGCCCACTTGCAGAGCACCTGTGATCAACCGTCTTCCGTTTCCCACCCACTTTCCCCCAAACCACATTTCTTCTTTAACTGGGTAATTTCTGGCATTTTGGTAGCCAACCAAGGTCTTTAAGAAGGAAGAGGCAACAATTTGGCCGCCAAGTGTTCAAAACACAGAAGCAAGTGCAACACAGAGTATTATCTGTAGCTCCTGGGGTGTCCCCTCTGGATGTTTCTGAAGGGCCGGTGAGGTAGGAATCCTGCAAAACCCCAGTTTTGGTGGAGCCTAAGGGCTGAAAAACAATGCTTGAAAAGGTGCAAGGAGGGCTCTGCACGTACGGCAAAAAAACTTGGGTTGAGTAAGTGTTTTCGAAGACTGTGGTTGGATGAGAGATAGTAATAATAATTATTATATATATAATAAGCCTGGGAACTTCCTCTCTGCCCAGAACATTGGAGGCTATACACCACACCCCCTCAACAGTATTTATAGGAACTCAAACACTGAGATCCTGCTCTGTTCCAGTAACAAGAAGCCGAAAGCACCAGCCTGAAGATGACGAGTGAGACCTCGTCGAAACGTCGCCTAGACACCCCAACTTTTACACGGGAAGACACCCGAGGACACCAAAACCTGCATTCCTGTACCCGTGAAAATCTACGAAAGCAAATATCTCACCTCTACGGGGAGGAAACCTTCCAGCTGACAAGAACCTACGAGAAACTAGAAATCCGAAGAGCCACCATCTTATGTGATCTCTTGTTCCTACGCAACTGCCGAGACAACAACTTAATTCCCACATGCTTCCAACTTAAATTCCACTCTAAAACCCCAGCTACCGAAAGGATCCTGAAACGAACTGAACTATCCCTAATCAGAAACGAACTACATAAGAAAAGATACCTACTAAACCAAACCAACAAAGATCTGCTCACTCTTCACCTCAAACTCTGTAACAAAATCCACCCTGCACTCTGGGACAAATGCAAACAACTAGCCGTCTGGAGAGCTGAAACTGAGACCTCACATAAGACAGACACACACACCAACAAACTCCACAAACTAGAGAAACGCCAGAAGCCCAGCCACCCTCCACAACAACCCATGAAACAAACAGTACATAACATATCAGACAGGATCCTCACCTCAACTGAAACCAAAGTACTCTCCAAAGGTTTCAACTTTGCAGTCGCCCCGAGACGCATCCCCACGGAAAACATCATATGCGGAGTCGAAGCTAGCCTAACCAAAATCAACCCAGATGAAGCCAATAAAATCAGACTTGAAGTCACCAACATCCTCTGCTCCAGCAAACCACCCAGAAGCAATTTACACAAAGAAGAACAGAAAGCACTCACCAACCTGAGGAAAGACAACAACATAATCATTCTCCCAGCAGACAAAGGTAATGCCACTGTTGTGATGAACACATCGGACTACCAAGCAAAACTATCAAATCTACTCCAAGACCCTACCTACCAACCTATAAAAACAGATCCCACCACCTATCTGGAAAAAACCACCAAATCCAAAATAAAAGCCTCTCCTATCAGTGAAGAAATCCAGCTAAGAATCATCCCCAGAGAAAAATCATCCAGATGCCCCAAACTCTACGGCCTCCCCAAGATACACAAAGAAGGAACACCACTCAGACCAATAGTCAGCTCCATAGGCTCACCTCTACAAAATCTCGCTAAATTTCTCGCTAAGCAACTTCAGCCCTATGCAGAATCCATCTCTTCACACGTTACAAACTCCTTCCAGTTCATAGAAACAATAAAGAAGCAAAACCTACATCCCGATGACCTACTTGTGAGCTTCGATGTTGTATCTCTCTTCACACAAGTGCCCATTAATGAAGCCTTGACAGCCATTCAAAACAAATACAATCCCCCCGAATACATCCTGGACCTGACCAACCACTGCCTAACCAACACGTACTTCATCCACAATGGACAAAGATACAAACAGATAGAAGGAGCACCTATGGGATCACCCCTCTCACCGGTCATCGCAAATCTGTACATGGAACACTTTGAAACCAATGCTTTAGACAAGTCAGAACACAAACCCAAACTTTGGCTCAGATATGTTGACGACACCTTTGTAATTTGGCCACACGGGAAGGAAAAACTAGATAGCTTCCTCACACATCTCAACAGCCTACACCCCAAAATACAATTCACTATGGAAATAGAAGCCAACAACCAACTTCCCTTCCTTGACGTCCTAATCTACAAAAAACCTGATGGCTCCCTAGGACACACTATCTACCGGAAAAAAACACACACCAACCGCTACTTACATGCACAATCACACCACCACCCTGCACAAATAAACTCCGTAGCCAAGACTCTCATCTCCAGAACCAAACGCCTGGCTGACAAAGACCACTTGACAACTGAGTTACAGAATCTCTCAAATGTGTTAATCGCCAATGGATACCAGCAAAACAGGGTTACGAAGCTAATCCAAAAAGAAACACCCCCCAAAAACCAAGACACAGAAGAAAACAATGGCATGGCCCTCCTTCCTTATATCAAGGGCACTACAGATAAAATTAGCAAAATCCTCCATAAACACAATATCAAAACAGCCTTTTGCACCAACCAAAAAATAGCCAATATCCTCAGAAACCCCAAGGATAAAATCCAGTTGGAAAACCAAGGGGTCTATGAAATACCCTGCAAAGTCTGCCCAGCCACGTACATTGGACAAACAAACAGACGAATAAACGCACGTATCGCAGAACACAAGAATGCCGTCAAAAAAGA